CTGAGGAAGACCCACAAGCATATGGTAAATTGCGTCTGTTTCACCCCAAGGGGCACCCGCATCAAGTAAGTGTTCACGAAAAACTGCGTGCTGTGCAACGTAGTTTGTGGCATCTGCGGAATCCTTCATACGGAGTGCTTGTACCTGTTGACGAAGGAGGTATTGGGCACTCATGTCGGTACGGTTGAAGTTTTCCTGTAGAATTTGCCAAGATTTACGTGCAGTGACAGTGTGCGAACGGGGAATGAGTGATGAGACGGAATTCGAAAGTCGACGAGTGATGAGCTCCTTAGCCTTCATGTCCTTAAGTAACCACTCACGCATTCCCGCTGTCTCAGCGGTCGTGGGGTTTGCTGGATCGACAGGTGTGGGCATCGTCAAAGGAAGTCCGAGAAGATCCCCTGGTACGGCCTTCGTGTTGATATGGCACCAAAGGTCTTCGCAAGCGAGTGCGTATTGCATTTTGGTGGCCCAACCAACATAATTTTCCGTTCCAAGCAACTCGGGAATGTGGTCGTGTTTCCCCATAACGATACCGTTGTGAAGAGTGACGGAATGTGAGAGCGGCGGGCAGCGCGTGAGTGAGTTGTGTTCGAAGTTACTGTGTCTGGCTTTGAGTTAAGCCAGGGCTCATAACCTGTTGGAAGTTCAAACTAAGATACATGTCTCAGCGTTGCAGGAAGAAGCGCTGTAACATTAATAGTACCTAAGATACACGTCTGAAGACGGAACAATATGAGTAAGAGACGGCGTGCATAGGAGAACGAGAACCATACCTCAGCGTTGCAGGAAGAAGCGCTGAGGTATAAACAACGTGAAACAATGATGCTATATACTAGTACTAAGTCCGTGATGACGAATAAGGAAATGGAATATGGTGTCGTCGTTGCACATCCAACAGTTGCCTAGAATGGTATGTTTGTGATGGCCAAACATATGGTGCCTGCCGCTGACGGCTTTGTTTCTCCGAAGTCTAGATATTCAGCATTTAGTGAGCTAAATACTCGCAGTGTAGGGTATTAACGTATTCTTAGCTAACTACCCTGTCGCACCCGGGTGGGAATACCAAGCTATTTAGGTTAGGATTATGTGAGAACGAGGTGCAAAAATACCTATGGGTTATGCTCACAAGATCCCCACAAACCAACACGGGAAATCCAAAAATGTATGTCCTATGAGGGAGTATGGGTTATACCTGGTATGTGTTAGGAGGGAGTCGACTGTAGTAGTTTGACAAGTTGTACTAGGAAAAGTGTGGTTTTGGAGGATGCACGAGCAGGTGGTAACCAATAGTATTGGCCTGATTCTTGTCAATTTTAACCGGACTTCGGACCTCATCTGCGTGTAGTGCCATGTTTTCCACTGCCCACACGTAATAATAAGTACAATACAATACTACAACAAGACTCTGTAGCAAAATGTGCAGCAATCATTGCGACTGCTCGGCATAAACCTGCGAAAGATCAATGAGTAAAATTATGTACGTTTTTAGTTACCCAACCAACCTTGATAGTCTTGTCAGCGCCACCAGTGATGAGCCGTGTTCCGGTCATATCGAAGGTCGAACAAAAAACGCCGGCTTCCGCCTCGAGGGAGCCGGGTTGAGGTACGTCATCAAGATTTTGGAATGGAGTCCCCGTATTGTAATCCCAGAACGTGAGTGTGCCATTGTCACCTAAACATTACAACAGCGATTAATTCAAATTTGAGGAAAGCCGATGGGAAATGGTAACCTACCACCAGAGAAAAATACGCCTTCTGCATTGACAGAAAGCGTATTTATGATAGCGTTATGACCGGGGAAGTTGTGTACAAATGCACCCTCTGGACATTTCCATTTTTTTATGTTATTACCGCCTGCAGAACCTGATGCAAAGGAATATTCTGTTGGGTGAATTGCCAGGGCCCTTACAGATTTTTTGTGATGAGTGAGGGTGACCATCGTCTTTCCAGCTGCCAGGTCCCACAGTCTTAACCAGGGTAGTGTCAGTCAGTGTGTTAAATCGCGAAGAAATTCAACGTACCTAACCGTCGAGTCCATACTTCCAGTGATGACTTGTGGATCAGATTCTTGGCACTTGACGTCAGCTACTGTTGCGGAATGCCCAGCGAGAACATGAATCTGGGCCTTTGTGCGCATATCCCAGACACGAGCTGAGGCATCGCGACCGGATGTGACCAAAACATCCAACGTCGGGTGTAAACTCAACGAGTAAACGCCTGAAAGATGACCATGATAATGCCGGATGACTTTGTTGGCTTCGAGATCCCAGCACTTGACCATCTAAAGGGAGCGATGATCAACGAGACGAGGTTGGCGGGTGATAGAATGATTCACCTTGTCCTCACCACACGAAAACAAGTACGGGTGTCTCGGTGAAACGGCTAGCCCTCGGACAGTGGAAATATGACCGGTCAGGGAAAGCTTCAACTCCCCTGAAGCCAAGTCCCAAATTTTTATAACTCTATCTCCGGCACCAGTAGCAAACCATTTATTCCCTGGCTCGACCGCCACACTACGAACCCAACCCAGATGACCGGATATGACGCGAGATAGCTTCCATGGAGCATGGTATGTTGGCTTGATAGTACGAGTTGTTTTGTGTAGGGTCAAAGCCTCGGAAAGCTTATTAGACGTAGCGAACGTGGACGGTTGCACTTTAGGTGTGTTGTCTATTGCGGCAATGAGTGCCATAGACTTTGTCTGCTCCTTTGGCCGAGCAGGTCCAATAGGGCCTTGTTGGGCAAGTAATGCAGGAGGGAGCTCTTTGAAATCACGGTATTCATCATTAATTTTCACCGACAGACGTATTCGCGCGCTAAAAATCTCTTCAGCAAATGTGCTCGGTATCCCAGAACTCGTTACACACCTCTTCTCATCTTCCTTCATCCCGTCATTTGGACATGATGCAAATATGTCTCTCGTGCGCTTTGCACTCCTCCTCAGTAAAGGATCCAGCGGCGGAAGAGCATGTGTTGTACTCATTGATAATACTGGGTTGTCGGCAGTCGGTCACTGTCAATGGCAGTGGCAGGGTGACAGGTTTGATTATCATTGTTTGTTTATTTACGAGAAAGGCAATCAAAGGCGCGGTTGCTTATCTGAAGCAAAGAGCTTTCATGCTTCAAGACCATTCCGTGGTCATAGTTTAGGTGGTTTAAAGAGGATTGAATAGCGCTTGAAGTAACATAGTGGTAGACATTAGACGCCATTTCGTCAGTCATGTCTGAAACAGCAGCAGCCGAGCTTAAGAAGCTCGTGAAACAGCTCCAAAATACTTCCACAGAGGTGTGTACAAATTTTTCTAGGTCAATCCTTTTAGTTTGCTTTGCTGACGACCCTCGTGTAGGAAAAGGTATCGATTCTGCAAATCTTGAAGAAAGACTTCCAAGTAAACGAAGCGATCTTAAGGGTAGGTATCCGTGCTCGGATTTTGCCTTGTATTTTGACTCACTGGTGTGAATTCATAGGAAAGCAAAGCAGGGCTTGCTGTCGGAAAATTGCGGACCCATGAGGCAAAAGAGGTCTCCGAACTCGCCAGAGAGATCGTGAAGAAGTGGAAAAACGAGGTTGAGCGTGCTAAAGGAGGTTCGGGCTCAAAGGCGGGGACACCTGCGAACGGCAAGGCAGCACCAAGTGAGTCCGATCCACATATGCTGCTCAATCCTTATAATGACTATGACTATCAACTCTATCCTCTCACAAAGCTCGCAAGGGATCTGCTTCGGTCACACCCTCTAACGCCGCTACTCCCGCCCCAGTGAACGGGAAGTTAGAACCTCGTACTGCGAAAGGAGATGGTGCAAAGGCATCCGGCACGGGGGACAGCACGCGGGATAAGTGCATGGAACTCGTTTATGATGGCCTTGCTTGTGACTCTGGCGCTCGTGAGTCGATCCCAGACTTCAATTTCACTATCTGACTCTCATTAACCCTGAAAACAGCCAGTGATCTAATCATGAGTCGAGCAAAAGCTGTGGAGGCCGCTATTTTTGCACAGTTTGGCAGTGCTAGCGCTGCATACAAGGGCAAAATCCGTTCTTCGTACGTCAACCTCAAGGACAAGGGCAATCCAAGTCTACGAGAGAACATTGTCAGCGGTGATCTTTCGGCGGAGAGGTTCAGCAAAATGACAAGCGAGGTACGTCAGGGATCATGAGATTTATTTTTAAAGCTGATTTGTTTCAGGAAATGTCTTCGGAGGAACGACGGGCGGCAGACCAAAAAATAAAGGAGGAGAACTTTTTCAAGTCCTTAGGAGCTGGCGAACAAGAAGCCGAAACGGAAGGTTTCCAGTGCGGAAGATGCAAGCAAGTAAGATGCTTTCATTGAATTTGGTGGCTTGGTGCTCATCGTTCGTAGCGTAAGTGTCGCTATCGCCAGGCGCAGACCAGAAGCGCCGACGAGCCAATGACAGTGAGTAAATATTTAATGGAAATCAGACTCAAGTTTACGTCTGTGTCTTCTTTCTAGACTTTCGTGACGTACGTGACCTTTACTTGTTGTACAAGACATGCTCACCTTTCGTCTCATCTTCAGATGCGTCAACTGTGGCAACAAGTAAGTAAACTATTGTCAAGAAAACTCGCATCTCATTTATCACTTGTAGATGGAAGTTCTCGTAAATATTTGCATCGTCTAGGAGTGCTTTATAGTCGGCAAGATCATCTTTCTACTGTAGTTTTTTTTATTGTCCAGTTGTCGGGACATCGTTCTGTTCGCCGTAGACGGCCCTGTCGTAATGATGTATACCTGCAATCTATTTTGAAAAAATACCCCTTTGTTTCTCACAACTTGTATTTCGCACATATCGAGATAAAGGGACATCACAACGGGTTGATGCCATGGTGTTAGTCCAAGGACGGCGCATACATCTTCTCCGGGTCAAAAGCTTGATTTAAAATTGGAAACTTAGAATAATGAGCGATTGCCGCCCCACGTGAGGGTGGGAAAACGAGTGGCTTCTGAAATGCACGCGTTTGTACGCGTTAACTGCCGAGGCCACTAAGCTAGTTTCGTTTTATACCAGAACACCATTAATTCCTTGTACCACTGCCTTCAGCCGACTGTGTACAGATATGTCCGAAGATACTGAGGATGTCAAACCGAAATTGGGCTTGGTCATTAACTATGAGGGCACCCGTCAGTCTTCTTTACTGCTATTCCGACGCGTTCAACAGGTATTGACAACCCGTGGCCAGAAATCACTGTGAAGGTGAAGCACAACATGTCATTTAAGAAGATATTCGATGCAGCAGAGGTGAGAACACGGTCGTCGCATCAAATCTTGCATTCTCATCAATCGGCATGACGTGCACCAGAAACGGTTTGGAAAAGAACCAGGCGAGTGGCAACTACTTTCAGAAAGGCAAAGAAGTTCTGTACTCATGGTCAACCCTTCAGGGACGTTTAAATTCATTTACGATGGCAGAAGATTGCGAGCTGAAAATACGCCTCTGGATGTGAGTGCTCTACTGATGCTCAGAGAACGATCGACGCTCGTATGCTGACGCCTCATCAGATGGAAATGGAAGATGGTGATATCATTGACGCTCACTTAGAGCAGGTATGTCGTATGATTCTATCGTTCTCTCGATCCTAATACCGCAGTGCTCTCTAGCTGGGTGGTGGCACAATTATATGTTAGCTGTTGTACATCCACAGGCTTCTGTAGGTCATGCAATCGGATGTATTCTCTCTACTGTATCACGTCTCACCATTCAATCCGTTCCAATTTGCTTGTCACCAAAATGATGGGACCTCGACTCGAAAGCTACCGATCCTTCTTTGAGGAGATCTCTGCTCCACCACATGCAGGGGTGAACATCCTCTCTACTCGGGTGCCTGACTTCTACATTCCTTAACTCTTGTCAGGCTCTTCAACGACAAGCTCAGGGGATCATATACCAGCCATTGAGGGCGGCATCTTGTCAAGGTTAGGGGTACGCTGGCAAGTCGCCAGCATCTCACTGGTGGGCCACGCTGACTCACGCAGACGGTGACAATTCCTAGTGTAATAATCCCAATCTGAACTCGATCCAATGAGTCACCCACAAAGTATGAGGATCACCATCTTTGGCAGCGCTACTCAGCGTTGTGAATGCGTTGATTACGGACAACGATGTCACGGGAAAGACACTCAGCTCTACGATCCAGCGCTTCCAGGTAGCAAGTTGGGACCACAGAATGATCAAGCACCTTCAGTTCCCGTGAGATCTACTTGGAGCGATTATGTTCAGACCGGCTTATATCGTATAATTATTTGTCGCAAGTCCCGTGGCTTTTCCCAAGGCGAGGAACCTCTGTAATATTCCGACTCTCACTGACAACCTGAATGAATACATGAGAGATAGTACATGAGGATTAAGATGTTGGATTCTGAAATTATGTGTTTGATCAGGGGCATCGACACAAATGGCAATCACGTGTGGTGGTCTGCACCTTGACTGACGCAACATGACTGTTACAGCAATGTCGGCCACGTACAAGCAAAGGCTGAGAGGATGGCTCAGTTATGCGTTTGCTAGGTGTGTAGTATTCGTACTTTTCTCCCAAAAAAGCTTCTCAAGTCATAGCAAGTGAGGCTTTTGTGGTGGTTTCCCTCACACTCTTCCTACCAATATGTCTGGAGCAATTTGCTCGTGACAATGGGTTCTTGCAACCAGAGAAGACTGAATCGTGCTCCTCACTTTCGGGTTCCGTGCCTGCAAACGTGGACGGCAGATGCGCAGTGAAAATTGGTTGGTTGTGGATAGATACCGCCAGTTTCAGGTGCGTCCAATCTATTCTGGCTAGCGTTGGTGCAGATGTCGTAACATACTCAGTCTCTATGTCTATTCGATGTCTGTCGCTTTTCAAGCACTCACGGTGATCTCAATGGGGAGCATAGCCGACCGTTGTATGTTCCATAGTTTCGTTCTGAAACTAGTCTTCATTACTGGTGGCAGCGTCATACAGAAAGCCCCTCCTCCTCACTTTCGCTGCAATAGGCGCATTCTCCGCGAGCCTTTTTCTTCCTCTATCGTCGACGTCTCCGTTGTGGATGGTCTCTGCGCTGTTTGCAATTTTGGCTAACGTTGGCTTTGGTGCCTCTGTAGTCGCTATGAACGCGTATCTGCCGTCATTGGCGAAAGATTCCCCAGAAGTAGTTCAAGCTTACTCCGAAGTAACAAGCTCATTCGAAAATCGGGATGAGAATCCCGCTCTTACTGCAAGCATTGATCTCGAATTAGAGCGCTCCTTGGAAGAAGTGTCAGATCCTCTTCTTGGTCATCCAATCCATCCGGACACTGCTCAATCAACTTACACTGCCGCATTATCGAGAGCTACCTCGCGAATATCATCCTTAGGAATTGCTTCAGGTTATGGTGCAGGAATCATCCTTCTCTTGGTTGCACTCATACCTGTCACTCGCTTGCAAGGTTCTACTTTCTCACTACGTCTCGCCATTGGTCTCAGCGGCATATGGTGGGCATTGTTCTCGATACCTGCTGCTATCTGGCTTCCAAACGCAAGCAACATAGATGAACCAGAATCCGGTTCTATCAAGGCAGATGACGATTGGACCTTCAGTTCGGAGATTGCGGTTGCATGGAGACGATTGGGAGTTATGCTTCGCTGGCGGGAAATAAAGCGTCTTCGAAATACCTTCAGATACCTCGCTGCTTGGTTCCTCCTCTCCGATGGTCTGTCTGTTATTCCACCAATCAATTACTCTTAATTTGACTTCTCAATAGGTTTCACTACTATAACATCGACCGCGATCCTGTTTGGAAAAACGACTCTGCACATGCAAGCTTCGTCTCTCGTTCTCATTGGCGCTATCACTCCACTCTCAGGAATCATTGGCTCTCTAGTATCCCCCATCCTCCAGCGTAAATTCATGTGGTCGAATCTTCATGTCCTAGTTCTTCTCGTGTTGATGGTCTCGCTGATTCCGGCATACGGGTGCTTGGGATTCCTGCCCGTCTTCAAGGGAACTGCACGATTTGGTGGACTGACAACACAGGGAGAAATGTTTGGTCTCGCAGTGTATTTTGGTTTGTGCCTTCTCCTCGATCGCGAGCATTGACTGACTAGTATCGTTATCACAGGTTTTGCGTATGGTGCGTTTCAGAGCTATGCTAGAGCTTTGTATGCGGAGTTATTACCTCCTGGGGAAGAAGCTCGATGGTATGTGTCTTTTACAGGTGTGGCACGTAGAATATTGACGCACTGCTCCAGGTATGGTCTTTTCTCGATAACAGACAAGGTAGGCAGATAGCCTTAAATCTGCTTTGCACTGACTACATTTTGCATATAGTCAAGCTCTTTCGTTGGCCCGCTCATCGTTGGCCTGATAGCGGATAGCACGGGGAACATTCGCTACGCATTCTTTTTCCTCGTATTTATGGTGTGGGCAGCGGTGCCTGTACTCCTCAGCGTTGATGTTGACAAGGGAAGGCAGGATGCAAAAAACTATGTTTCATGAAGAATCGTAGTTGGAGAATGTTACTATCCGTATTCAATAATATTCCCTCAGTGTGCATGATCGTAGGATGAGATATACAATTTGTTGAGATGCTTGTACTATACGTACTGAATCGAATGGAAGCAAATCATCTAGAGCTCCTTCTTCGCTGCACTATCCCTCTTAGACTGGAATGCCTGAAGGGCCTTCAGTCGCTCTGTCAGTGTGGGATGTGAGTGGTGATAAGCCGAGTATCTGTATCAACGACACATCAGTACGTCGATTCCAAAATATCATAACTCAACCTACAGCCAATCAACCCATAAGGTACTCAGGTTCTTGACATGGAGCGTGATCAACGCCCGTGAAAGCCTCTCACCCATATCCTTCATCTCTGGAGCCGACAATCGATCCTGGATCTCACACGCAAAACGGTCCGCTTCCCACTCAAACTGGCGCGAAAGAGAATTCAGCGCAATGCCAATAACCGCTTCCAGGGGGCTAAGAATCATCTGTGTTTAGTGTCAGCGTCATATGCAAGAGAAACCTACATAATGGCGCACCTGGAATAGCAAGAATGCAACAATGGTTGGTGGGCGGGCAGAGACAGCTGCGGAAAAGTCGAATGCCCGCAAGAACTGAGGTGCGTGTAGGAAGGCAGGAAACATGGCGAGGATGGTAAAGATATGGACTTGAGATACACAGAGCAACTTCGTTGGGTGCATGTGGTACCAGTGGCCGAGTTCATGCGCTGATTCAAAACGTTCAATCGACAGGCCAGAAAAGAGAGCGCGTGCATACCTAAAACTGCCTCGACTTCCTCAGGCTTACTTTCTTTGATCAGCGTGTCGAAGATGACGATGTGTTTGCTCTGAAAGATGATGAGCAGGGATGGTCACAGCAAGTGAAGGTATACTAACCCAGGGCAATCCGAAGAAGTAAGCATTGCTATGGGAGCTACGCTTGGAACCGTCAATCTCATACAGATGCTTCAAGGGGAACTTGAGCTTCGTCGCGAGCGATTCGGTCCTTGTGCGTAGCTCGCCCTCCTGGAGGGGTGAAAGCTTGTTGAAGAGTGGTTGAATAACAGTTGGATATATGATAACCATTATGATCTGGAAAGCCAGACTAGATAAGGCATATCAGCACAGCCCTACTTGCATAGAGGAAATAATCGAACAGAAAAGCCATAAGCCATGGGACGAAGCGGTCTCCAGCCCACCCAAAACGTAAAGGAAAGCGGCGAGAAACGGCATGCCGATAACAAAGCCAATCGCCCAGCTCTTCAAGAGGTCCGTGACGAATAATGCGGGTGTAGTCTTGTTAAAGCCGTGCTTCTCTTCCAAAACAAATGTTTGGTAAGCAGAGAGAGGTATTGAAGGTATGGATGAGATAACAAAAAGCACGATAGCAAACGCAAGGGATTGCGAGATCTATCATATTCGGTCAGTTTCGAGGTTTGAATTGATTGTAGGGAGTCACTGAACCTCATACTCGCTGCTATATCCGAAGTAAGCTATCAACCCCCCAGCCATGTCCCATGCAAACGCATATAATCCATAATGAAGCATGGCAGAATCAAGGGCTTGTTTGAATAGTCCAGTAATCAGGGAGAATTTTGCTTTATCCTTGCCGTAATTCTGAGACTTTGTGAAAGCCTCTGCATCGAAGTGGTCTACTAAAACCTCTGGGGGAGACGTTTTCGAGTACAGAGGATACTGGCGAAGCCTGTGAGCAGAAAAAGGTTGGTTAGGAAAGATAATCCAACAGAGCAGTACACTGACAGAAGGTAAGACTCGAACAACGTAACACTCCATGAGAAAACTTGAACATAAAATTTCCAGTCAATTGGATCGGTTGCAACAAAAGACAACTTTTGCTGGAGTGCTGCAAGCTGAGAGTGCAGCAGGTCCATGATGTGACTAGTCCTGGGGCGTTGGCAAGGGGTTACGAAGAATCGTCTACTTAAAATATTCGATTTCATCTTGTCACATGACACGTCTTTATTCCATGACCACGTGGCGGCAGACGTGTCTCCTAAGGTGGGGAGCCGAGTACTAGTCCCGAGGGCTGGCGGTTTGTAAGGCAGAACGTTCCTTCAGGGGAATACAAACATTTTTGTTTGATGGGTCGCACAAGTAATCAAGTCGAATGAGACTAATACTATCTAGATAATATTACATGCGCGTGGATATAATCATCAACGGTTGTGGTTTACAGCGAGTTCAGTAAGACAGACTTCTCGAACTCCTCGCGGTTGTTCTTGATATTTTCCAGCCCACTCTTGATCACCTCCATGCGGTGAGCCTCAGGATCATAATGATCGCTGGGTTCCGTTCCAGTTCGGGGAATCCACCCTGTAGGAATGCGCTTGAAGGCAAAGTCGCGAATGACCTCTTCTGCAGTTGATCTGGCAGAATCGATGGCTCCGGTAATCCACGTATGATGACGGCTCAAATGCTCTCCAGCGAAGTAGACGTCACCTTCCTTACGACGAGCAATGTCAAAATACTCTGACAGTTGCCCGGGAAGGAACATAGCGTCGCCGGTAGGGTTGTGCTCGGACCATGCTAAATCCTCTGCCGCGATGAATTGGTTGTAGATGTCAACACTCGGGAAAACCTTTGAAAGGTGACATAGAGAGTTCTTAAGACGTTCGCTGAAAGGAATGGAGGACCACACAGAGGCGTCTGTGTTCCAGGAATACAGAAGCAGGACGCCAGGTCCCTCGGAACCGATGCCATTGGATGGATATACAATCCACCGAATCGGCAGATCAGTCATTGATTGTCCCCCTAGAGAAGGGGGTTCCACATGCTCCCAGAATCGAGTCTTGAAGCGCAGACCGATCTTATATAACGCCTCGTAGAACATAGCGCGAATAGCTTGCTCCTTCCTGTAATCCCAGCGAGGACGCTCTGGAATCATCCTCAACGCACTAGGCGGAATGGCAAGAATCACTTTGTCAAAGGTTTTTTCTACCCGACCCCTAGGCGTATCTGCGCAGATAGTGACACCATCACCGTTCTGCTCGATCTTCTGCACTCGCGCACCAAATGTAATATTGTTCATGCCAACCACCCCGGCAAGTGCCTGAGGAAGTCTGTCCATCCCCTCTTCCAGTGTGAACCACTGTTTAGTGTCGAAGTCGAGGTTCTGCATGATGAGCTCAGAGAAGCTCAGCGCGAACTGGTTGGTCTGAGAGCACATAGTCTCAGGTGAAATCAATGACTGATTGTGGCCATCCAAGAGATTCCAGGTAGGAACGGAATGGGACTTTGTCAAAACGCATGAGGAGCTTCCAGCCCTCGTCGAAGTCTCTCTCCAAGAAATTAATGAACACCTGTATAGCGCTCAGTAGCAAGGCATCTGCAGTCTTGCCATCATATGGTGCTGGGAGGTCGAATCCCAGTGCCTTCGCAGTGTTATCATCGCCCCCGTTCTTCAAAATACCGTTTATGAAGATACGATTGTCGGGGGTGGTGAGATGATAAGGTATAAGATTGAGGTCGGCGTGATGGGCGTCTTTGAGAAGTTAATTAAGTCGAAGGTTGGTTGATGCATCTGGGTACTTGGAATACGCATGGCACCAGCCTCAAAGTATTGGTCCTTCTCGGATGTAAAGTGGTAGGTTTTAACACGCCCACCCACTCTCCCATCCAGTTCGTACAGAGAGACTACGATGCCAGGATAGCTTGACAATTTCAACCGATATGCAGCATACAAGCCAGCCATGCCAGCTCCCACAATGCCAACATGCTTTAATTTCCTTCAGGGTAACGACGATAAGTTCGCATCTCGGCAAAAAAATACATGCATACCTCGGTCGTGCTAGAGAAGGGGACTGGGACATGATTGATATTGATGTGATGACACTATGGAGCCGTCATCAGAAAATGGGCACTACTTAGTAAAGATTGGGAAAACTTACAATAAGGTCGGCGGGGACCTGGTTTAGATTAGATGAGCAGGACATGCAAGTATTTTATACCCAGACGGAAGGAGCTCACTGCGGTTTACGTGCCCAGAGCAATCTGGGTTAACGGTGGCGCCTTAGTCAAACTTCCGAAGTCGAGCGGCGACTAAGTAGATAGGATTGTTCTAAGATAGCCGAGATGTCCTAGGAAATGTTGATTTTGGCATTTGCATCGTAACCAAAAGTCCAGTGGAATGTTTGACTAGTACAGGAAACCTGTAGAAGTCCACTGCGTGCAAGTGAATGGTTGGATTCGAAGGGGCCCATCATGAATGAGAGTACTGAAAGTGGGCTCAGATCATTGATTTTTGTTAGAGCGCCTCGCCCACTGTCAAGAAACGGCATTTTCCTTTCGCTATTTCTAAACAAACGTAACAATTTGCATTTCAAATTCAGGGAACATTGTATCCACAAGAGTCACCGTGCAGTCATCATGAATCTGAGGAATTTGCCTCATTTTCGTTAATGCTCAAAGTTTGTCCTTGTCGTGCACGGCGTTGTACAGCCCACTCCCTAGCCCTAGCGCGCCGAGCTTCCTGATCAACCTCCTCCAACCGTACATTATGGGTCTGAGGTGAATCCAGGGTCATGGCAGAACTCTCACCGACCTTTGATGGAGATGTTCCCTCACTCTCAGACTCTTCTTCGCTACCTTCGTCATCACTATCTCCATACGCAGCAAGTCCTCCCAGACCTACGTTCCTGGAAGCTCGCAGCGATTGAGCTGATTGGTCGACTTTTTCTTGTCTGAGCCTCTCCTTGGTCGTGCGCCATGCTCGTGACCACCGTCCCCTTAAGAATGCAAATCTCTTATCTGCACCGTGGTTTGCAAGAATGCGCATCTCCAGTTGTGCAGGATTAGGAGACGATAGAAGGTGTAGCGCTGTTCTTTTCATAAGCGCTGACTGGACATCATCAGGCTAGCACAGAAATTGTTGGCGTCTAATGTCACCCTTACGACAAGTACTAGTAAACGACCTCTTACCTCCTCGTCACTGCCTCCCCAAAGATCCAACTGTTCGTTTTCATCGGTCTCGGCAAGAGCTTTCAGACGGTCCTCTCTGTTTCGGTCAATGAGACGCCTACGTTTCTCGCGCCGGTAATCTTCGATCTCATATGGTGTGAAGAAAAAGGTATCTTCAGTGTCAGATGGCAAGTCTGACCATCCGGTTGGAGACAGAGACCTTGGCTGAGAGGTACTCAGACTTGTATGCTCTGGGAAGGCATCAAGCAAAAGACGAGCATCATATCTATGCGGGTTTTGTATCAGACTGAGTGGAACAGAGGATAACGATGGGACCATATCTTCCAATCCGAAGCAGATAGAGTGTAGATCCGACGGATCTACTCAGATAGACATTGCCATGCGCAGAGTATATAATTGCCACTTGTATTTTTTGGGGGGACGACTCGCCATAACTTAGCAATAACCGTACTACTAGGGAGACCCACCTGTCCACCCAAATAACCTTGTCGTCCGACGTTTCGGGGAAAGAAGAATCCGAGTTAAGAGGTTGAAAATTTCTTTTGCTAGCACCCCATTGTATGAGAGCGCTACCGATTTGAGGGTCGCTTGCATGAACACCCAAAGTTGGAAGATTAGGCGCCTCAAGAGAAAGTGCTGTTGAAAGAAACTGCGGGCCGCGAATGATAGTAGCCTCGTATGCTTGAATAGACAAAACGAAAGGATCTGGTGTAATTGCGGTCACCGGAGCTACGAGGTTGGCCGATGGTGCAACCTTGCGGTACTTGCGTTTATGGGACATCCCAAGCACCTCCAGTATCTTGAGCTGGAGGATTGAATAGAGCTCTCAAGGGCAAAGTGGGAGCCGTTGTGCGCGGCGTGAGAACCAGAAAATGTAATCAGCGCTATTTCAGTACTACTAAACTTCAGCTCAATACTACTACGTTCATCGTTGAAACGTTGACGGTCGCGTCAAATTTCAAAGGGGCCGTACAAATCGATGGATGAAAACTTACTGACACAGTCTCCTGCTAGCAGATGTGATTCTTCCTTTCAAATATTTTTTTTCATTTCATCTTTTGATGGCCGGAGTATATAGTATGCGTTCAATAGACCTTCCGCAGGTTGCTGACCCGCTGTTCTCGGCTTCCCATGCATAAGAGACACCATCCAGTGCGACGAACTGATCTCCTTACTGCCGCCGGTTTAGGGACTCAGATTCCTAAATATGGCGGGTCGCATGCGCTACATCCTCATTTTTAACTTCTCCCCCTCCTTCAGATACCTTTTCAGTGATACATCCACCGTTCGGACGTCTAGGCATACTAATTATGGCATTTGGGTAGAATCTGCCCAGCAGCGCGAGTTCTACTTGTGTTGGCCTGATGTATTCGAATGCTGAAAAGTTAGAGCGAGTCCCGCATGGGAGGATCTCGGTGCCTCGATCGAGGCGAGCCGCCAGTCATGAGCATACTCACCTTTTTCACTTCCAGGAGATGTCTACATATTCAGTATCATGTAAGTAAGCGTTCATTCTGCGTCATCCCCTTGCGGTACCTCATATCCCTTCAGGTGGCTCTGACAAGCTCTTAGGGTTCTATTCTGACTATTTGGCTCTCTGACCTTACAGGAACCACATAGGCTATCCTCATCGTCAGAAGCTGCTAACCCACTATTTCCGTCACACTCATGAGATAGCGCATCACGCGCGCTAGGTATCTCGAGGTTTTGATTCTGGTTGGGACTTTTACATCTTTATCTGCAAGTATAAATTGCGGCGGATTATGTTGGACAGGTAGCTGCTTCGTTACACAAGTCAAAACCCTCGTTCGCCTTTCATATCTCGGACCTCATAATGCATCTCTCCCTTACCCTGACGACTGCGATGGCAGCATTCGCATGCATCGGACAGGTCGCCTCCGTGCCCCTCGAGGAGACCCTGAGAAGCCTGACTCCGAAAGCAAGGAATGTTTTGAAGCGTGCCACCCCAGTGGCCCCCTATTTCGTTTTATACAGCGACGCGTACGTTTCCACTGAACCAACGGTGTCAGAAATTTCGGTAGGCTTTCCCTTCCTCTACTTGTGATCGACACACTAATCGTGAACTGGTACAAACATCAGGGCTTCAATGTGTTTGCATTGTCTTTCCTGTTGGAATACGGTGCAGCGGATCAAGCTCAGGAATGGGAAGAGCTCACAGCAGCTCAACGTTCTTCGATTCTCTCTGAGTACGATGCCGCAGGTATCTCACTCATCGTGTCCCTTTTTGGGTCCACTGAGACCCCCACTTCATCGGGATACAACCCCATCGATACTGCAAATACCATGGCAGCTTGGGTCATCGAATACGGCCTGCAGGGTGTAGACATCGACTATGAAGCATGTTGCATGATGTCTGATAATGTTTGACGAAAACTGATTTTCCTTAGGATTTCGCTGCATTCGACGCTGGCACTGGCGCTGCTGAGCAGTGGCTCGGCAACTTCACCACCCAGCTCCGCACCCAGCTTCCGCAGGGCCAATATATATTGACTCATGCTCGTGAGTTAGATATTCAGAAAATAACATCATCACGCTAAACTGATTCGCACAGCCGTTGCACCTTGGTGAATATATAGTGGTCAATTCGATCCCTAGATCCCTACTGACTGAAATCAAAAGGTTTTCTCCTGATATCTGGGGTGGAGGAGGATACCTTTGGGTAAACTCTGTGGTCGGGGATATGATTGATTGGTACAATGTGCAGGTGCGGCCGACGTCCTATCATTTCTGATTTCTTGCTCTGATTCTCTGTCATCGCAGTTTTACAACCGTGAGTCTCTCTTTGAAGCGTTCCCTTTGTCTCTAGTAACAACAAACAGAGGGCACGACGGAGTACACGACTTGCGATGGCCTCTTGTACAGCTCCTCGACTCTTTGGCCAGAATCTGCACTCTTCCAAATCGCCGATAGCGGTGTTCCTCTGGACAAGCTTGTGATCGGCAAGCCTGCTACTGCAGCACAAGCCAGCAACGGGTACGTGGACCCGACTCTCTTGGCATCATGTGTTTCATCGGCCTATGTTTCTGGATGGAGTAAGTTCGTCCAATTTAGCTAGTTTTCTCTCTCTGATCATCACGTGGAATTCTAGATGGCGGTGTCATGGTTTGGGAGGTACGTGAGAATCTGAGCGATTCGCAAGGTTTCTGAGCATGCCGATATTAGTATCCTTACGCTGAATCTTCATGGATCGCGACTGTGCGCGGGGACACCTGGCCAATGCCATCCACCACTGCGACACCGACAAGTACTGGTACCACAACGGCGACACCGACACCGACAGGCACCGGTAATTGTGCAGGTGTTGCTGCATGGGCTGCTGATGTGGTCGTGAGTAGATTTCTATTTTTTTTCATCCATTCAGTACTGAACCTTTACAGTATACCGGAGGTTCTGAAGCAACCTACGGGTGCGTATATTCTTGTGTATTCTGAATTGCTCTCCTCCATCCACTAACCCAAAATCTAGTGGGTACCTGTGGACTGCAAGCTGGTGGACGGAGGGTGACACCCCTGGAGGTAATTTGAACTCAACTCTTCCAAAAAAAAACTTGACAGTCTCACCACAGGTACCGCGGATGTCTGGGTCAACGACGGAGCTTGCACCTCTACAAGCAGTAGTACACTGACGAGCACCAGTACTACACTGACGAGTACTAGTACCACACCGACGAGTACCAGCACTACAACGACGAGCACCAGTACCACACCGACGAGCACTAGCACGACGACGACATCGACAGGCACCGGTACTTGTGCAGGTGTTGCTGCATGGACCACTGATGTGGCCGTTAGTAAATTTCTTCTTTTTCTTCCGTTCAACACTGAACCTCTATACAGTATACCGGAGGTTCTGAAGTGACCTACGGGTGCGTATTTTCTGATTTTCTCCTCTCCATCTACTAACACATAACTTAGTGGGTACCTGTGGACCGCGAGCTACTGGTCGGAGAATGACACCCCTGGAGGTGATTTGAACTCATTTTTTCTAGAATCTTTTTTAACAGTCCCATAACAGGTACCTCGGGTGTCTGGATTAATGACGGAGCTTGCACATCCGCAGCCACCGCCGCAGCTAAGCGTAGGGCTGTCCCACCCCCCATCGTCATAGCGCCTGCTTTGTAAAGGCATTGATGGGTGCCACCCCACCCTGCTCACCTGATGCAGCGTGGGTTCCGCGATGTACCTTAATAGATATGAAATGAGATATGACGACAACGACGTATTATTATTGTTTTCTTGTACTGTTTTTACTTGCAAATTATGACGCGATACTCGTTATACCTATGATGATTATTTTGTTGGGCCTGTAAGGCTGGGTTCGAGTACGAAGGGGAATGTGAACAGAAATGTGTTAGATATGAGACGAGTAAGAGAAGGCTTGAGACGGAGACTTTCTGCGAGGTTTCTGAGGTACTTGGAACAGGGAACTGAGTATAATTCGCTGCTGATATCAATGTACATGGGCTGTATATAAGCGCCGCGAAACGGTAAGGGTCCTCGGGTATAGCTAGATCGAACGATTATGAGAACACCATCCCTAGATCCCAACCAACTAGTAGTACATGCAGTCTCCTACGCTAATCCGCACTCCTTCTCAACATCTGCAAGAACTTGAGCCCATTTCCCTCCATTCCAAGAACTGATCCTGACCCACTCTTCATCCTTCAGAACTCGTTTGAACCATAACAAATAACAAGCCACGATGATGTCTGCATACGAAAAAGTGTCACCCATGAACCACTTCCCGTCTGTCTTTTGGTACCATTCGTACGCAGTATTGTGCCCCTTCTCTAGTAGGGCCCAGTCTTCATCATAGGTCGCATCCCAAGGTAGCGGGACGTCTATCGAACGAACTTTGATGAAGAACTTGGCACTGGCAGGACTTAATATTTCTGCGGAACGCGCAAAGATAGACTTTACAGCAGGTAGAATGAGTCTGATATGGGCGGAGTTGAACTCGCGTATCAAGGATTCTGAGTTGTTGGGAAAAATGGCCTTCTCGGGATATGTCTTTTCGAGGTAGGAAGCGATTTCGAGGGAGTCACTGATGAGGGCGCCGGTGTTGGGGTCGTTGAGGACGGGAACGGTGCAAAAATCAGAGCCGTCTGAGCGTTTGTTTGGCTTTGCACCGATGGCCTTCATAGCGATCGAGATGTCTGAGTATTCAACCCAGGCAGTCACAAATGGAAGACCCTTGTAGCTCAAAATGAACCTAGGGCGCAGTAGGCTGGTCAGATATCAAAGTGTGACATACAGAACATGAATTACTGACCTCGGCTTTGCGGGGTTGGCTGAAAAGTTATTGCCTGGTAGGTTGGAGAGGGTGTCATACAGGACAAGTGTCTGCATCATGGAGTACTGAGACGTGGGGTTTGAAGTGCTGCGGCCAATCTTGAAAGTCCCTTTAAAGGTTGAGCTTCATTGGTAAGCACCTGAGCTTGGTTAGCGCATCGATGTGTTCAAGAACACTGAAACTATCTGTGTATAGAGGCAACCGTATAGCGTGGATTGTGGGTGACGTACCACCGCAGTTGCAAAGTTAGCAACCAGTGGCCCATCATTAGATGCCTGTGTGTTGGAGTGGCTGACCTCCTCTAACGCGTTAAGGTGGGGTATAAATTAGAAATGTAACCAAGGCCCTGTAACGCATTACGGTTAGCTCCATAAGCGGAGGTACAGTATAGCGTTGGTATTGATCCTTGATGCTTACTAGTCCACATTTGGAAGAAGCTTAGGACATTGAACCGTATGAGGAAGAATATGACCTGCACTTGCGCATTGTACAAGTGTCAAGTGTGATCGCGCGATGACAGGCTGACTGACCGTGTGTGCATACTCCGGGAACGCTGGTATCTTCACATCATCATTCTCCACCGACGCCTGCTTTCTATATTATCTTGCTGACAATGCGGCCGGATACGCTGTCGCCGAGTTATTCAGTATCAATATCTCAGGTATGGAGGATTGTACCATTGTGTCCTATAATTGATCGGTACCAGACAAGTATTCGAAAACACGAGCCCGCATCAACACCACCGTCCCTGTCAGCCATCGATGCATCAACAACTTAGACATGTTTCTGGATCTTCGATTGAAGTGAGACAAGCTTTAAAAAAACATTCTGTCTTATGCAACTCACTATGTTGAATGAGGCTGAATAAGCACTCCGTCTCCTGCCAGTGGCGAAAGAAGGCTCCGAGTTGGTTGGAACAGGCACCACAGAACTGAAAATGAATAGAGCGTTACGTAAATAATGTTCAAATGAGCTGAAATTGCCAATCACGCCTGTTAACGTTCCGAGGTTGTATTTAGTGTTGTTGGCAGAATGCTGCCATTCTGCCGGTGGCAATTGCCAAGCGGCAATTGCCGGCAGTAGGTCAAGGGTGGTTGGCAGAAGTCGGCAGAAATACGATGACCTAGTATTTGTTCCTACTAAAAACAATAAAAATTTGACATGTGGCCTAGAAGCCCAAGGGCCATTCTGTCCAAAAACTTGTGTCCAACCACTTTGTTAGTAGTTACTGGGGAGAAAGTCAAAATTTGGTCAAAAACAACTCAAATCACTACTTTTTCACAGGCAACTGCTGCTCGGCACGACAGTACTTATCTATTGAGGGCCACGATAAACATCTAATTGACTGAAAAATATGATCATCGGGCATGCTCGTGCAGTGTGGTTACCTCACTACAAAAAAGGCAATCAAGGCCGAATTCTATCAATTCTATCCCCATCTTCCGCTTCTGCAACTTCCAAGTCGACTCAAAGGTTGTTTGCATGGATTCCTCCCCTTGCAGCAGACTCTGATCCACCAGAATTATCTCACAGGTTCAGAATCAATTACTGATCTGAGAAGCTGATCAAACACATGAGACACAGGAGGCTGACCAACTGCGAGAAAATTATGGGGCAGAAGGTATCCACGGTGCCAACTGGCTTTGTTGAAGAGATCAATGTACTCAATTGAAGCTCAGAGAGTGCATCAGGGTAAGATATTGATGCACTTTTGACTCATCAGGTATAGCCTTAGTGTAGTAGTCAAAACCATTTCTGCCATAGTACAAACATAGTTGAAAAGAGCTAAAAATGCTCACAATACATTTTGCCGACTTTTGCCATTCTGCCAATTGCCATTCTGCCATCTGCCAAGAGACCAATTCCTTTCTGCCCACGATACTAGGTTGTATATATCATTTTCTTTCAACGAGTTTACATTCATCGCACAATTTCACAACGTTGATACTACAGTACATGAACGTTCATCGCGCCATCATCGTCCCGATGTTAGGAGACCCCCATCATGTTCCTTTGCCGTCCATCGTTGAGCTCGCAGATCTCAAGATTCTCAAGGATCGCTCCACAAGGGCAATATGAAATTTATCTCGGATGAACCCAGGGGAATCGAGGACAGATCTCATCATCAGTGAACTGACGGAAACCTCAGATAGACAAATATTACCTTATATAGTGGATAATCACCAGCATCCGTATAATTTTGCTATAGGTTATCACATTGTCATGCTTGACCTTATAGAGGAAAGGAAGGTTTTTCATTGACATGCGCAGCTTGGCAAATCGTCAAAAATTCATTGTTTAGTTCAACTCAAAATTGAGGTGGTAGGTGGGGTAAAAGCCAATGGTCCATCTCAATGAATCATGGCCGCCACATTGGGATCGAGGTCTACAACTTGGAAGGTTAACCCGAATGTCAGTATCTTACAGACAACAATATTTTGTATAGCGATCGGGGAAGAACTGAATCGTATGTTTATTTAGATCATTCGGCCGTCCTTTTTGTATTTATAGTTTTGTTCTACTAGACATCCATGGCTGCTTCATGTAGTATCGCTTCTGCTTCGCGTTGTCCAGAATATCATGTGCCATTTCGTCCTGCTTACGTAGTTGGTTGTGCTCGCATTTGGAAACCTCAGTTATTCCATTGCGAAATGCAACAATATTGTTATCACGGGCGATACCTACAAATGACTACTTCTCTTTGTCCACAAAGGACTGTTTCAGGGAGACTCCCAATACATAAGTCGTGACGGGTGGAAACCCAAGAACAAACTATATCTTGATCGCCCCACTTGTCAGGAGCCTGGCTGTGATTTTTTGGTATGTTCGATAATTATCGTCACCTCAGATGTCAATAATATTTATCCTCCGAGCAGAATGAAAACGGTACACGCACGTGTCTCTGTTGTTGCGCTGCATTTGGTCACATCGCAGGTGTATACTTCCTGCGTTGCAAGCGGAGGGACGAGTAGAAAATTTTGTTACTTTGTATGTATCACCTTCTTCCTTTTGAGCAGAATGACACGTGGATAATATAGATATCGTCACTGTTGCCCTGTGCTATGCTATTGCACACTTCTATACTTTGCTTCCACAATGAGATTAACAAGTAAGAAATACAGATGCTTAGCGGCTGTCGCACTCCATATTGTGACTTCGCACACCTATTCTTTCCGCCTTGTGTCGAACTGAAGGCTCGTCCATGCATTCATTTGCGATCTTGCTTTGCGTTTGGCCACCTCACACGTGTATACTGTTCGCATTGCAAGTGGAATGATGAGTAGAAACTTTCGTTACCTCACATGTATATACATTTTTTCTGACTGGAATGATAAAGTAGGAAATACAGACATCACCACTCTCATGTTAGATTTATTAGATTGGGCGTCTGAAATTACAAGCACAAAGATCCAAACCTATAGCGTTACTTACTGTATTTATAATATGCCCATGAGATGTATATTGTATCATAGGTACTTGTCTCAGATGCTTTGCTTCCGAATTTTCACAACGAAGAGATAGGATTAAATCATCACATTCACAATTGCGAGATACTATTGTAATTTAATAATACCGTATTACTGAATATCAACAAAACGGATGCTCAACAGGGTGACAACCGTAGATGCCGCACTTGCACCAGATATAAACTACTCTGAATCGAAAAGAGCATCGTCCAGCTGTGCTCTCTGTCTTGCAAGAGTGTTGACGGACATCCTGGCCTTTGCACCATCACTAAGTTCTGCACGTCAACTTGTGCCGAAGACTTTCCTAAGAAACGGAGATCAATTGAGGACTGTTGAGTATGTAAAGAATGCAGCTTGTCCACCATGCGAGGAGTCGGGTAACCCTTTGCTGCGCTGCTCGACCAGGGGGCCGTTCGAAGAAGTCTACAATGTTTTGCCAAAATGGTATGTAGTCGAAGTCGCCGTCCACCGAGCGCCATGAGCTCACAGAAGACAGGGCAAATCGCAACTTGTTAAAGATCGTCATTCCACAGGGAAATTAAAAAACTGTTGCAATGTACCTGACATGCTACATATGCTATCGAGCGGGCCGTGACAGCGTGCATTTTGATTATTTGTGCTACGTGTGTCTTCACTTTCTTGCATGAATTGAAGTCCTTCTTGGCGCGTCGGTTGGTTTCGATTACATCAGCGGCGTCGCCATCAGCGGTAACCTCCCTTGCAGAGGAGGGTGACGTGAATATTGCTTTGAAGGCCTACTGAAAGTGAGATTTTTGTTGAGCGACTGGAGAATTACTCACCTGAAGTAAGAGAGTGCTTTTGAAAAGGCCCTGCTCCAGATTGTCCTGATTTGCTGTGTACTTTTCGTACAGAAATGCTGGCCAGGACATCTCCGTCACGACATAGCCGTCTGCGCGGTCCCTGATCCCTGCTCTGATGCTAGTGTATAGTTAATGTCGCACAAGATCTCGTGTGAGATACTTTACTTACGTTGGGCTATTCCAGTCTAGCTCAGTCAGGCAGAGTAGTCTGCCACACGTATCGTTGATGAATCCACGGTAGTGTTTGTCCTCGGGGTCGATGGGGGAATCAGGCTTCAATTCGCGATTGATCCAATCAGCGACGAGGCTCTTCAACTTCGAAGTGTCATCCCCTCGAGCGGCATCGGCTCCCTGCCTGAGCTTAATAAGGAGTTAGCAGAAGGCAAATGGTTTGCATTGGTAAAGAGTACCTTTTTGAGCATATACGAGTAATCATCATACTCCAGGTCTGATGCCCTTGGGTGAAACCACGGGAGGGCGTGATTAAGCGCGATATAGCCGGTTTGCAAACGATCTTGCCTATCATTGTGAACCAGTGGTCAACAATCACGTAGCATAGGTAAAAGAAAGACTTACTCGTCAGTTGTATTTTCGTCCTCGTTGCCCAGATCGCACCGCCTATCATTCTCGCATATTAAGTCTTCGATGTTGTCAAATAATGTGACAGTGCGCCTGATGGCTCTTCCTTTCGACACGTAGTAGTTTGTCTCCCTGGAAATCATATTGAGTGAACTGAACTAGATGTAAATGACGGTGATACCTTTGTTTGACCGCATGCCCTGACTCCAGTATCTGTAGTTTTTCCTCTAAAGCAGCGATTTTCCACTTCTGACGAGCACTCTCGGATGTCACCACCGCAAGTGACTGTGACGATTCCGGAGGGTGGGGAATGTCCTCCACCGACGCCTCACTGAGAGACATGGACTTCTACGGCGAAAAGGTGAAGAAAATCAAATGAAGCCTATGGTAGAGGGCGGGAGATGATGGACTCGCCAAGTTGAATAATCCTGCCCCCATTTATATGACGGCCATCCAGAGTTGAGAAACACAGCTGCCTTGAAACACATGGTATGCCGGGAAGGTTTCAAATAACATTCAAGTGAGTATTACTAAATTCCATGCGCTGGAAATGGACTTGTTAGGCGAAGAAAGCGCGTTGACGTCAACACTGACCGCTGAAAATGGTCTAAGGCGTGGCAATGCGCAGCAAGTACGACATGCCGGAAGTCAGATTGCTACTTTTTTGAGTGACCGTCAATTTGACATGGTATGTCATTTATCCTGTCATTGTTTTCCTAGCTCGGGTCGGTGACATGATCTCATGGGTTGGGCTAAACCGAGCGTTAGCTTGTGGTGAGGGCGGGATAACTGATTACTACGGATTCGATGACTCGCTAGCTAGCTCTACATTAAGAACAGACGCAACGATGGGATGTGAATCAAAAGATCAGTAGTGCGAAGTGATGGACGAAACTATGGGAAAACCGGGTGGGAAGAAGGAGTGACACTCCTGGATGCTTTATCCCGGCAGGCTGCATATCTAGGATGTCCCACTCTCCGAGTCGACTCGGATGTGAACCTAAGACACATATGCATTGCAATATTAATGTCAACTATTCTAATTATCGAGTCACAGTCAAACTAAAAACAAATACGACGCAATGAAGGCCTAAAGACTATGTACGATTAAGCACTACTAATGATGTCTGATCAGCTCTAGCAGACCGGGAGCGTTAGCAAGAGATCACAAAGGCAGCTTAAGAGTCCATAAAACTCCTCCAGCTCACTGCCCAGCAATGATGACATCCGCCCTTTCAATTCCGTATAGGACGCCTCATTTTCCGAAGTGTGAAAATCGGTAATTTGGAACCAGCCGTTCTTCGAGCATTCCCATATTTTCCATTTGCAGATTGTTGCGGCCAGCAAGATAGTATTCCTAAGGCCAAGCGCCCAGTTAGGTTTGTCGAGGATAAGTAGCATCGACATCCTAGATCAACCAGAATGTATTCTGTCATGGCGATGACGCAATTATTTGCAAACGGGACGCGAAACGACTTGAGTTGCCCATCGCTCATGACTCGCTGAAGTGAAGATCAAAGATGAGCTGAGTAACATTGACATGTATGCTTACCTGAACTACAATGTCAAGATAATCATTATTCGACAGCAATGCCAATGCATGTCTGCTGCGCGATGGCGCAATCTCGTTCGTGTTTGCGAATAAAAGTTGAAGGGATAGATCATACGTCCCGGTGACCAACCCCCGAGCACAACCCTGGGAGCAGTCCTTGTGAAGCTTTCTGACGTTCCCTTTTAGCCTTGAAAGAAACTTTTGGCCTTCGGGCCTTAACTTCCATGCCTTGAGTTCGGCGACTGTGTACCGCCATGAGTTATAGAATGAATGTAGAGAAATCGAATACCATTCTTTGGGTGCTCGCCGATCGCACGGTTGAGCGCTGCAGTGGCGAACTTGTCGACCTCAGTTAAGGACGGATAAAGGGATGACTGAAACAGAGACAAGTTCAGGAATCTTGAGGCGTCCTCCTTCACACGATCAATTACAGCAGATTCGACCTGCAACGTTGAGGTCTTTCGAGTGGACTGCGATAGTGCTGAGGGAGGAGGTGTGTCAGATCTGACGAAAGGCACTCCTTTGTATGGATGAGAGATCTTCCTGTACGATGGCCTTTTCTGGCCCAACGTTGCAATATAGTCTTCAGAATAGAGGGAATCGGGGTCATTCAGGCAGTACGCGCCCAAAGCTGATGAGCTTGATTGATCTTGACTCATGCTTGGTTCAAAACGGGTCGGATTAAGGTCGGTTGGGAAGTGAGCTAGTCCCTGAGGGATGTTCTGGGGTACGAACCCATCATGGGTATCCTGGCTGTGCGAAGTATGATAGTCAGGGTATGCAATTGCATCATGATTGGGCACTGACCCGATATCGAAAGCCCCATGTTGGTCCTGGATGCCAATTGCATGCTGTGGATTACGAGAGTCATAGGCAGAACCTGCTTGACCCGTACTCCGGTCAAAGGAAGTCGGATCAAGAGAGGATGGGAAAAGAGGTAGTTCCCGAGGGGCGTTCTGCGCAAAAGAATCGTGATCCAAGCGGTTACCAGCCGCCTGATGAGATGCACTGCCTGTAGGAATCTGTAAGTATGACCCCAAAGTTGGGTAGCTGCCACCCGCGGGATCTTGCGATTGGATAGTCTGAGGCACTGCAATGCCAGGCTGGCTTGGCTCCAACTGCGACAGGATTGGGTAGCTGTCGCCTGCGAAATCCTGCAGGCGCGAAGTGTGATAGTTGGGGTATGCATCCGCGTTGGGCGCCGACCCCATATTGAAAGCCTCATGCTGGTGCTGGCTACCAGAGGCTGCATGCTGTGAATTATGAGAGCCATAGGCAAAAGCTGCTTGACTCGTACTCGGGTTGAAAGAGGCCGCATTGAGCGAGGTTTGGAAAAGAGGTAGTCCCTGGGGGCCGGTCTGCGCTAGGTTGGAATAATTATGATGCAAGCGGTCAGCAACTGCCTGCTGAAACGCGCTGCTTGTAGAAACCTGTGAGTGTGGCTGTAAAGTTGGGTAGCCGCCGCTCGCAGAAGGGCGACCTGGACCGTTATCGTGACTTTGCAAATGCGGCTCCTCAGGCTGGCCTGAGTAGCCGTTATTCCCGGGCCAGTGGGTCATTTCTGAGTCGTTGAGAAAGGCGGCCAGTCAACGATGATTATGATGGTCAGAGCATGAGTCTTACCTCTTTCGGTCGTTACTTTGAGAGGTCTTGGCTGCAACTCCAAGTCCGAGTCAAAGATGGGAGTCAGTCACGAAGTGCCTTTGTACGGAATAAAAAATGGATGTAAGATTGCACCAATAAACGTGCCAAGTCTTAGGCGTCGGTCTTACTGGCAGCTGATACGCGATGGGATCCCGTTGTGGATAGCTAGTTTACTAGATATTTAGTCGTCCGAAGCTGCTTGTACTTACCTCGAGGCTGGCCCCTGAACGATTCGATTGATAGAAACAAAGCTGGCATTAATTCCCGCTGTGATGAGCAAAGACGGTCAGGGTTCATTGAAATCAGCCGAAAGCTTAGGCTCGTTACTTACAAGTGGTTCAGATCCTGGTTCAGATCGACTCGAAGCTTCAAATGGGACTCCATGCAACCGCCGGTAACACGCCTGGTCACTTGACATTGACTAAAATTCAAACTTGGCACAGACTGACAGCAAATGAACTCAAAGTTTGTGATAGTACGTACTGCTAATCGATTGTTCCGCCTTGAAATTTGATGTTTGGTAGCGGCCAAATGCATATGCTGGTATCAGAGGGAACTGCCGTCATGTTATCCGCGTTGTGAGATTAATTCTGATACTGGAATTGGTACTCGACAGGGACCATTGGAACAGGCTGCCCCAACGATCTCGAGACATCGGTTACGGTGCATGCTGACACGCTTGCATTCAAGTTAGCAAAAGATTTGGTAGAAGTTGCAGTAAAAATGTTATACGGTTTTGATCTGAGAGACGTTGAGAATGAACAACGGCAAGGGGAAGGCGCTACAACAGCACTGGTTTAGCATGACTCAAAGTTTTGGGCAAATCACGTAATGGCCTATAGGTTTAATTTCCAGATCTTGCGGAGCGAGGTGGCGTACTACCAAATACAGCTTGTACCAATGCAATTGAGAAACAACTTCATCATGCGGCTCAACTACGTACACAAACCTAGTGGATGATGATCGATGATCTCTTCCCACAGGCAAATTCTCATTCTCTAGGTTCTGAGTTAATTGCCGTATGCTATTACATGATTAGATAGAAACATGTTCCATTCAACTAATCCGAATATTTCAACCCGACGAGAAGTCATCCACTACTTAGCAAATCGGATCAGTCCAACCCAGAATTCCTGTACTGGTTTTTCTGAGTCGCTCTCCGATTAAAATATATATTGCAAGAACAAGAAATTGAGGATATGGTACAACTTAAATAAACTATGATATTACAATAGAGGACGCGGTGTCTCATGCCATGATCTATGCAACAGTAGCGAATTTATTACGGAAAAAATGCCTCAAATGCCTCAGTGCCTGTTACGCGAGATTAGTACGAATGTTGCCACATAGGAAGAAAAAAAAGATACCTCAGGGGTTAGTGAAATTATACCAATTCGTCCGAACTGGTGGTGCTATCATCTGATCGCAGAAGAGGCACTGCTTGCAGTGACCATTCAGCAGTGGTAATGTTTGCAGCCAAATGAAATATGTACATGCAAAATTCTGAACTTCATCAAACTCTGTATCAGCAGTGGCGAATGACATCGCATCATCTTCGTACGCAGCAATACTGCAGTTCTTGCGATCGACAAGCTCATTGGTAGTGCAGCTAGAGAGCGCCTCTATTGCGGTGTTGAGTGGTTCTGAGGCAGCATTGACATATGTTTCGGTTTCACTCTGAACGGTTATGTCAAGAAACTTAGAATGTTGATGAACCGCATCGATGCGCAAAGCTGCCGCGATGGCACGCACGCGCCTCCATTCAACATTGGCTTGAACCGCGATCACAGCTTGAGCGAGAGCCTCAGGACTCAGGCGCTGCATTTTACGATGCAACCTAGTTTTGTCCTGGCATAATATTAATAAGTAATACACCACATAAAGATCAACATACCCTTTGAACATCCGATAAATCCTTGGAGATACCGCACCCCACACACTCCTCACCACAGAGGCGGTCTATTATGTTGGGACCTCTGTGGTAGGGCTTGACTCTTTGTCTTATGCGCTTTGCATAGCTGGACAAATCACGGAGTATGGGAGGAGGGGTAATTGGTCCGATTATATCATCATCTGATGATTCATACGGAGTGTCAGATGACGGTGGTGATCTTGGAGGCTTGATAGGTTTCGTTTGTAAAATATGACGACTCGGAGTCCTAGAGTGAATGGCTGAATCCTGCTTCGAAACAGGACCAGTGGTACGTAGACGCCCTTTCCTGCCTTGGTAGTCAGGACTAGACTCTCTGATAGGATGAGTAAGATAGGCTTGCATGCGTGAATAGTGACACAGCAGGTGGGAGGCGACTGAGTTTCAAACCCGTTTTCAACCAGGTAGCTACTTATATCGATATTCTCACCGCGGATACTCAGTGAACGTTCAAACATTGACGCCGAAAAGGGAGAAAGTTCATGCAGTGGCATAGCTACGTCACAAATTTAGGAAGTCCTGATGTGACTGGTCTGTAGTACAAATATCTATGATGACTCAAGGAGGTTCGAGAGGATTTCTTAGGTACTAAATTGATTTAGTCACCGTGACTTCTGAGTCAATATGCGGGAGCTTCCGAGTCCGCTCCATCAATGATCATTTCGGGCGGCACTGACTGACCTGAGCGAGAGGACCATCTCGCTCCGCCCACTGAGTCAAAGGGATCATTCATTGACTCAGTTGTCGTCGCGGAGCACGATGAGCTACATCTGAAAACCCAAAATCCAGAAACGAGTGTTTGAGGCGCCTTCTGGGAGCCAAATATGGCTAGCGTCGGCTCGTGCGCCTTTTAAGTCGTTATTGCGCTAACGTAGACTCGGCTCGTTCAAACACGAAAAAGATAGTTGAAAAAACCTCTAAATATTTGATTGCAAAGCTACAAATGCCAGAGATAATAGATTAGATATGATACAGATGTACTACAGACGAATGCGCGTAATCTACAGCCCAATGTCCGCTCCTCCGCGCCCGATAATGAGTTTGCACAAAGATTCATACCTTTCCCTCAACGCATCATCCAGCTTTAAGTCGTTAATCAACGCCATGATCGCGCTGTACGTGTCATAAAATTGCTTGGCCGATGCATCAACATTTTCGTACGTGCCCTCGCGATAAGCTTTGAGGGTGTTATGGACCGCAGCCCCTGCCAGGCCGAAGACGCAATCAAGGTTCTCCTCGTCGATATTGTCGTAGAGGCCCTCCTTCCAAATGATGTCGACAATCATGTCAACGAAGTAGTCGGCCTCCAAAAGACGCGTGAATTCGACGCCATCAACCTATCGGCACGACATAAGTTACTCGAAGCAAGGACAACGAAAAAAACACTTACAGTTTCCGTTTTATGTAGAAAATGGAGTCCGGATAGGTAGCCTTTGACGATGTTGGACCTTTCAGCGGGCGGGACACGCAGATTGAGGGCAGTTTGGATGTTATGAGATGTGTACGTTTTAAAGAGTCTTTGCGTGGCCGACATGGACGTGACCATCTCCTCCTGTATTTTCGCAGTCTCGAATGTTTCGTACGGAACTGCAAAGATGTTAGTATGTTTATTATGCGATTGATACGATCGCGACTCACCATCTCCGAACAGGTCGATCCTCGCGTCCCGCAAGGCATTTGAGATGTGCCTGTTTCGCTGTTTCCGCGTTGGCAAAACACCCTCTGTGCGCAGCATGATGCGATGGAGGAGTGTCTTCGCCTTGGTCTTGATGGCCCGTATATCCTTCTTCTTGAGTTTGAGCAGGGAAGCGGCTGCAGGAGCGGCGGGTGGTGTTGCCTGTTCTGGCGCTGGTCCAGGCGCTGGTCCGAGCATTGGCGTAGGAGGCAGATGTCGTTCGATGGCATGCGATCGCCCCACTGAGCGCTCTGTCTGTAGTGTCTAGTAGAATATTTAGTTAAGTATTAAGTATTAGTGAAAAAACACTCACGTGTATCACGCCACGGTTGAATTCACCGTGTTCTGTCTCCCGCTCGCGAGGCACAATTACACTGACCACCACCGGCACTGGTGCTGGTGCCGACGCTGTTGCTGGTGCTGGTGCTGGTGCCGGTGCCGGTGCTGGCGCTGGTGTTGGCGCTGGTGCCGGTGGGGAAGTGCTTCCGAGGTCCCACCGCATATGACGGGGGACCCCGGAGCCACCATACGGAAACAATTCGTGGTGGCGAGGTTCGTCGTCGAAGTGGGGTTGGTAGGGGTAAGGATTGGGGTTGGTAGGGGTAAGGATTGGGGTTGGTAGGGGTAAGGATTGGGGTGGGGATGGTAAGGATCGTGTTGGGGATGGTAAGGATCGTGTTGGGGAGGGTTGGGATCGTGTTGGGGATGGTAAGGATTGTCTTGGGGAGGGTTGGGATTGTCTTGGGGAGCGTAGTGATCGTGTTGGGGAGCGTAAGGGTAGGGATCATGTTGAGGAGGGTTTAGATCGTGTTGGGGAGCGTATGGATCGTGTTGGGGAGTGTAAGGGTAGGGATCGTGTTGAGGAGGGTTTAGATCGTGTTGGGGAGTGTATGGATCGTGTTGGGGAGCGTAAGGGTAGGGATCGTGTTGGGGAGGGTTGGGATCGTGTTGATGAGCGTAGATATCGTGTTGGGGAGCGTAATCGTCGGGCTGGGGAGCGTAATTGTCGTGTTGCTGAGGGAAGTAGTGGGTTGGGAGAGCGCCTGTAGCCATTGATGTGGCAGACAAATGGCAGAGGCCACCGGGAGTTTCTGGTCGATCCTCAGGAAGGCCAAGTTGGGTCGCGATGTCGCGACCTGATGCATTGATATTAGAATGTTTTTTCGGCCGTGGTGGTTCCTAAATGTTTGTGTGAGCGTGTGCGTTTGATACAATTCAAATACTTGCCTTTTTCTTCGACGTTCGTCTTGCTTGTTGGGACTGCTTTCGTGGGGGCATGAGTCGTGGATAGCCGCATCCTGCTATCTGTGTGCAATAAATTGACTTGCCGGTTTGAACTCATGCGTAAACGAAGGGCACAACAAGTGTATAAATCGGAAATGATATACATAAAATGTACAAACGAGATCAATGACAGGTCATAGGGGCGATAATGTGATCAGGAATTGAATTGAAGGATGTAAAAATGAAGGCTGCACTGTACATGTGTCGTTAATAAAACAAAACACGAGGTAAATTGAAATAGGGTCTCGCACTCTTCTCATTCGTCGATAAGGCTGCGTGCCTCAACATCTCACTCATCCAGTTGGTAGATTAGGCTATCATCAGACTCCGCATCACTGTGGGAGCCTGAAGCTTCGGTATCACTGCTGTTTGGGAAGGGGGCGGTGCACTTTCCCGTATGAGTCAAAAATTGGTCGTACTGCTCACTGGCGACTTCATAATGATCCAGTTACTCTGAAAAGACTGCCTCAAGGTAGTCTTTATTGTCTTCCAAAGCCGGGAGCCCCCGAGCAGTAATGAAACCCCTGAATATTTCCATTTCGGTCTCCGCCATCTTGAAATCACCCTCCTGCTCTCGCTGGAGGGATTTCAGGAAAGATTTTTCCCTTCTATTACGTTCGAGTCGCCAGGTGGTATGCATGAGCTGGTGGCGGAGATCTTCCTTGACGGCCTGTTTGACTTGGACCGCCTTGTGGAAGGAGTCATCAGAGAGATGAGATAAACCTCTCTGTAGAAGTTCTTTGCCCTATATATTTGATTAATCAGAACACATTAAATTACAAGCAAAAGCTCCTACCTCATGTAAGTCTTGGAGGTTGAAGCCTTTCTGTGAGCTGTCAAGAGTATGCTTCTTTGCGAATTGGAGCTCGTAGAGTGGGGCCTGATAAACGAGGCGTGGCCTGTACTTAGCACGTAATTGTTCACGAAAGCGAGAAAGGCGGTCTGGCTTCGCAATAGGCCCTACCACGGGGAGGGCGCGGCTGCGGCTGCGGCTGCATTGAGCTGGTCTCTTCCCAGCATGGGAACAACTAGAGGGTTCAGAGTCCAAGGCAGAGGTGATACTCAATGATGTCGCAGATCTAGGAGGGGACACCAACTTGGAACCGGACCGAGCGAAGAAAGATGGGGACAAGTCAACTCGAGTTGAGCTTGTAGTCTCAGAGTCGGACAGAGGAGGCGTGGACCTCTCAGAGTAGACGTCCATACTGATACTAGTAAGTTAGTTAATATCCTAGCTTATAGATAGGCGACACATCTCGACACATACCACAGATTTCTAGCTAATCTGAGGGGGGGTTACGATGGGAGTAAGTTGACAACAGAGTGCAGAGTTTCAAGGACTTGTGATTTTTTCCTGTGCAGTCCGTTCATGTCAACACCATATGCCGCTGGGATGCAGGCCAGTCATCCTGCTGTATCGTCCAATCCCCAGCAAGGACAATCCAGGCAATTTGTTATTGATACCAACTTGTGAGTTTTGTTTCTTGAACGTACTGTACTCACTTTAATGACCTCTGAATTGACTGGTAGATCATCTTCTGCAAAATGTCCCCAGTGTCTAATTGATCTACCCTCCAATGAGGCAGTATTAGAACACCTACAGCAAGGAAATGATTGCTGGCCTCAAATACAAGATTGTCGTATCCCTGTCCCACCCGCATTCCTTCGATCTACCTCGGAAACAGGGAAAGACCACATCTTGGGACAGTACCACCCATCTTCCGGCTATATATTCAGAAAGGCTCCAAACATCCTCGAGGCCATGGAAAGCGACCAATTTGCTTATCGACGACACAACACTCCATTTTACCCCTTTCAAGACCAAGCAGAGTTTGAACTTGGTAAATTCCTCTGCGAACGCTTCACGCAAAGTGATATTGACAGATTTCTCAAGCTCGAATGGGTCTGTTTGGTGTGAACTTCCTCTATGCACATACAGGACTAACCTCTAGCACACAGGTCCGTCGAGCTAAACCATCATTTGGTTCAAAAGACCGGCTACTTGCATGGATGGCCTCTCTTCCCACCAGACCAAAATGGCGTTCAACTACACTCGAAATAACCGGATACCCAACCATCCAACCAATACAGCTCATCTGGCGTGATGGATTAAGTGTAGTAGAAGATCTCTTTGCCAATCCGATTTTTGCGAATAACATGACATACGACCCGCATGTTGTGGTTGATGGTAATGAACACGAGTATAGCGAATATTTTACAGCACGACAAGCATCCGAGATTCAGGTAAAATTCTACGTATTTGCTTACGGTGGTTGATGGACATCTTGGTATAGGACCAACTTCCCAAAGGCGCCACCATAGTTCCGATAATCATTGCATCTGACAAGACGCCCGTGACGCGGCACACTGGAGGGCTTGAAATGCACCCTATCTTTGTCTCAATCGCTAACATTCAGTCTGATGTGCGGATGAGAGCTACAAGTCATGCTTGGCGATGTGTCAGCTTCATGCCAATTCCAAAATTTGTCGATGTTCATGCCGACTACCAAACTATTCTAAGTCAACAGCTATTTCACAAGTGCATGGATATCATCTTCGCAGACGCCAAGGTCGCAGCCATGTCGGGGAAGTTCATACCCAATCCATGTGGCCATGTACGACACTGCTTCACACCTTTGGCTGCTTACACTGCAGATTTGCCAGAACAGTAAGCCATAGCATGTGTCTCAAAGGTCGCTTCTCCTGTTACGTTGGCCACATCCCATTCCTTTGGTGACAGCTATCGCCATGCACCACGCACAAAGGAACACACCCTTTCAGCGATATACGACATCTGTCAATGCATTGATCCATGGAGGTTGCGAGAATTCCAGGAGGAAGCCAAGGCTCGTTCACTAAGCGGTGTTCACCAACCGTTTTGGCGGAATTGGCGGTTTGCAGACCCTGCTCGCTTCTTAGCAGGGGAAGTTCTTCATACCTGCCATAAATTCTTTTTTGATCACCCGTTTAAGTGGTCCAAAGAACTGGTGGGTAAGGACGAGCTCGATGCCCGATTCAAGAGCCACCACAAGTGAGTAGGAATGCGCCATTTTTCATCTGGAGTGTGTCAGATGAAACAAATGACCGGCCGGGAACACAGGGACTTGCAACGCACTTTGGTGCCTTCTATCGCTGGGGTCGTGCCTCCCCAGTTTGTCCATGCAATTCTCGCTCTGATCGACTTCATTTACCAGGCCCAAAGCCCTGTTTATACAGATACCTCCATCGATTCCATGGTTGCGTCCCTCAAAGAGTTTCATGATTATAAGCAAGCGATCTTGGATGCTGGAGCTAGACGAGGCACCAAAGGAACGATCGACAACTTCCTTATTCCAAAGCTCGAGCTTTTACAAAGTTTTGCTGCGTTCACCAAGGATATAGGCGCCCTCATTCAATGGACTGCTGACGTCACCGAGCGCCTGCTCATCACACATTGCAAACTTCCGTTTGAGAGGACATCCCGCCAGTCACGCACCTTTACAGAGCAAATCGTAGATATTCTCAACTGTGAGGAGTCCATGCGACGGTTTCAGTTGTACCTTTTCCTACAGATGCACGATACTCCCCTTACCAATGCCATAGTCACGGAAGAGCAAGAGGTCACTGAAACTGACCCTGCTCTTGCGTGGATCGCCCGTGTCGCACCTCATGATCCAAATCAACGGTGTTTTATTGGGCCGCGCCCAGTTCGAAACCATTTTTTGAAGGGCATTCTATCTTCCACCGCTACAGCTGCCTTTCACATCACCGTCGCTCCTGATCGAGCCAAGATGTCTGTCAATGAAGTCCAACAGCTTTATGCATTGCCAGATTTTGGACAAGCACTTTCTGATTACGTTACAAAGGTTTCTGACGGTCAATTCACCACAACGTGGAGCTGCAATCGTGGTCGCCTCAAGATGTGGAATAAATTTCGATTGCAGCTGCATTCTGTTTTCCGCTCACGAATAATTATGCCTAGTCAAGTTGTGCAGGCTGCCCCACCGTCAGACAAGTTTCCTCTGGGAAATTGTGATGCTGTGATTGCGCAGTCGATGCATGGCGACCAGACAGGTAAATAGTATTTACCTCATTTCGGTTGCACGCTACTAATTTTTCTTTACAGTGAATATTGTTGCTCAAGTGCGGGCAGTCTTCCAACCCATTGCGCCTCCCCACGTCACACTTCCCCACTATCTCGTGGACCACCCGCTCCTCTATGTCCAGTACTACGAGATCGTCAATCATCCAGGCAATCAGCCTGCCGTCAGTATGTATACGGTAGCCCGAAAATATCGTAAAAAACCCACAGGCCAGCAGAGATTGGGTGCAGTTATTCCTCTCACAGATGTCGCGCAGGCAGTAGAGCTTATCCCTGTGTATGGCGAAGGCGCTGACCGTACGGTGAGTGCAGCGACGAGTATGGAGATATACCAGCACTTTTACCTGAACAATTTCTCGGACAAAGAGATATATCATGCATTGCGCTCAGACTTGCACTAGTTACATTTTTGTCGTAGTTTCAGCTTGCGGTCCAACACGTCTGTTTTTATCTATCTTATCTTTGAGATCGCACGAGATGCAAAATATTATCATTGATCAAAATATTCGGTTGTCCATCTTTTGTAATTTTATAACGACGAAATAAAATAATAACAGTAAAATAGATCTCCACCAATCGCATGAGTTCGCTACTGAAGTCATAAGCGTTCGTAAGTGTCCATAACGCGCATAAGTTAAGCATTCATTTCAGTCGTTTTGCAGATGTAGTACGGAGGATAAGTCAGTAACTTGAAGCCTCCCATGGTCGGGCTCCCCTGGTCGGGTAGCCAGGATGTAATCCAAATGGAGTTAAGTTACTGATCTTTTGTTCGCCAAAGAATCGTGGTCCGAAAGAGGAAGCTATCAAAGAAGTGTTACTAGCTTACGCCCAAGGTCTCCGACCCCTACTGCACTCATCCGTTCAATTTGAATACCTGTGCAGCAACATTACCTGAGATTTGCTGGGGTATCAATGTTATTTTTGGAGTAGCATTTGCTATCAGAGTCTTTGAGTGATGGTTGTATGCGGGTACCAGGGCCATCTTTGTCTGAATTCTGGAATCTTCGTAGATGTGACGAAGTCGATCGAACATTCGCTGATTTAATTTTGCCGTCATGACTCGGGTATAAAGAACTCACACAGCAAGCAAGAGTGGCAGTCTCAATTCCAGGCTCTCACGTGCTGATGAGCTGCGAGATGTGATGTGTGTGCACAAGCCTTCTCTCCAGTGTTTTTTCTCAAAACTCTCATCGTCTTTTAATTGTGAACAATCCTTGGTATCAGCGGTGCAGAGTCAATATGAATGACTTGTTCGATATGTGTGGGCCGTGATGGTGATGTGGATACTGGTGTTACGCAAGTGTTGGAGATATGTCGCAAAGAAGCGAGGCCATTGTTTCACGTCGCTGATGCGCATGATATACTTTTAGCAACCAAAATCGCACAGGCAAACACAGCCAACACTCACAATAACAACGATTCGACGTTCAACCTTGGCTGTCGGCAATTTGGTGTGCCTTTCGATGGCCCATCGATGTCGACAGTATCTCAACAAGAACAACAGGTGAGTGGCAAAGTGTATGCCCCGCTTTGACGGACCCTACGAAGTGGTGTCAACCAACTGTGTATCATCTACTTACACTCTAGACCTACCTGAACATACTAACCTGGGGATGACCCGACAACTATCACAAGGGTCCTGGGATGCCTGGAGGACCGTGGTATAGCAGTTGCAGCCTGTGCAGGGAGGGAAACGTTTCCGCGACGACTTCCATCAATTTCCTTTTTGGTTAGACTCACGTGAAATTTTGATTCAGTGCCATTACAACCGCTGTATCTTGCCTTGGCACCTTACTTCCATTCCAAACAACGACAACGGCAAGCTGGTCTTATACGTCCTTCCTTCAATACTTTCCTAGACCCACTGCTATGACTAAGATTCTGTGTAGCACTCTATTGTCACACGTGCACTGCCCCCTTTTCTACCTCCTGTCCATTCCTTGTGAGCAAACAGCTATGTTTCACTCCCGTCTGCGGGCACGTGTTGAGCCATCCATGGATAAGCTTGTTTGTATCACATAAAAAGTGAACAACAGAAAGGCGCACGACATATCTTCGGAATTGTTCGAAGGCAAGGTCGTTATCAACATCAAAGGTTTCACCAATCTTTCTGGCAAAGGGCATTACGCGGAGTACCGAGAAGATAGGAAAGGGATCACGTGGGGTATCCAGGTCCAGGGTGAGTCCAAGCATTGCTGTACTTCGGACATTGTTCGTTTTATCTGATGGCTGTGTGGTAATTATATCAGGCCGGTTCCTACAACCGACTTCAGCAGATGCATGTTATGTTTGGAAATACGTTCGACAAACGTTTAAAGCTGCCTTGGGGTGCTGGTGTGGCGCTCAAATTCATGAAGTGAGTATGCTGTGGTGTTCATTCGGAATTGGACGATGCCGTACACGGCGATAGGAGCTAATAGTAGTTGTTAGATACGTCGACGCTACCTTGGAACATGACTTGATGTCGGACACGAAGCCGTGGGCCCTTTCACCACTGATTGCAACAATGCCCCATCTTGTGCACGAAAGAATAGACGACATCTGGGCTTCGCCCCTGCTAGAGAATAGATGGTCAGAGTCCTCGTTTCCACCCTCACGATCAATAGGCGAGGATACCTCGCAGTTGCAATTTGCCATTGCATCCTCGAATTCTTCTAACTCTACGTATTTGACCCCATACTCGTCAAATTCTACGTTTGTGACACCATCCCCTCATTATCAGTTGCCTCATCTTCATCTAACCTCTCGAGTTTGCCGAAGATGCCTGGTTCATTGGACGTCTCGTCAAATAATCCACTTACGTTGCCTCTTGAATCGCACACGCTTCGGGCTTCCATGAGTCTTGTCGATATTCACCCTCCTTTAGCGAAAGAACTGTTTAATGCAGCATTTAGATCCTGCTGGACAGAACTCTATGATCAGTATCAAGTGAATCCACCTTATACTCATAACCGATTCGTGCTAATTGCTTAATCAGGAAGGCCTCGTGCGATCCATTGAATGCGCCATCACCACCACCACTGCTCCGTCTGATCTCGTGCACCGACTGCTTAGCTTAGCTGAGTTCATGGAACACGAGGAGAAGACACTCCTCATCGAACATCGCACTCTGGGAGAGTATGCCATGAGGTTCCATGCCTACGCGAAAGCTCTTCACTACAAGGAGCGTGAGTCCTTTACTGAAACTTCCCCGAATATCATCGAAGCATTGATCGGAATCAACACCAAGCTACAGCAACACGACGCCGCTTGGGGTACTCTCATTATTTCTCGATGAATGACAACGTTAATGATTCTATTTCTGTGTGGTGATCTTCCGGATCAATCTCATGACTTAACAACAAAGTGCGACTGAGTACGGTGAGGCGCCAAAGGACCTCCGGTGTTGACGTCACATCAAATTATGAATATTGTACTCGTAATAATTATCCTAATCAGGTAGTAGTCCCATGTCAAAGTCTCACACCACCTTCAACTTGAAGTTGACATAGTATTACAGCGACCTCAAGCGTGTGCTTCAGTTAGTAGCTGAGTAATCCATGCGGCCTCCAGACGCTTTCTGCATACTGCTTTTGTTTTTTTCAATGATATCGTGTGGAGCTTTGGGTTGCTCTTGGGAGAGAGTTACAGACAACCGGGGGCTTAACAAGCATCGTACAAGCTGTCACTTTTTCAGGAAATCCGGTGTTCTTGCCGCTGAGAAAAGACTACAGCGGGCGAGAAACGCAAATATAGTTCGAAACCTGTCTGGTTCATCATCGCAAGTGAGTAAAATTTCTCCTCGAACCTTTCGAGTCAACTTCAATACAAGATAACTGATTCCTAACTCATGTCAACAGGAAATCTTACCAGTGACTCGGAGGGCTGGGCCTGTGAAGGACAACCCAAGACCATTCGCCTTTAGCAAATCCCTAGCAAACCCTAGTAGCACTGCCGGGCCCGCGTTATTCGGTGCTCCAGGACCGGCAGCCTCGCAGCACTCCTCGGATTCTGAAAATGAACCAAATCACGATGATGTTATGATGGACTCAGAAGGACCTACTTTTGGAGTCGACTCAAGATCCCAACATGATGTTCTGCGTTCGTATTTTGTGGGCATCTGCATATAGTAATGGCTGATTATTCGATTGTTCCAGAGGGACCCACACTTTGTAGGAAGCAGATTCCAAGACTTTTCAATGACCTCGAACATTTGACTGAAGATCTCAGTGACGTCAATGAAGTTGATGTCTCATCGCCGCCAATCCGATCGAGAATTCAACGCGTTCTGTTAACGCTAAGAGATACCCTCCAAACACCCTTCAACTTGTTTGGAATCTGCCGCCTATACCCTCGCCGTCCCTCCTTCGAGCCTGATAAATTCGTCCTGTCTTCATTACTTGCTAGGTCGTGCCCGATAATTGTTCAAGGACCCGATTCTCAGACGCAGGTGTTGCCACCACCCTATCCGTTTCCCAATATGTCCATCTATCGCCTGATCACCTGGATGAATTCAGGCAGTCATCGAAAATCTGAAGCTGAGGTCCAGCGCCTTGTGAAAGAAGTTATACAGGCGGACGACTTTGACGTCGAAGATCTTGAAGGGTTCTCAGTGAGAAGAAGCTTGCGAGAATTAGATAGAGGCGACGGCAAGGGGAAGGTTACCTTCCCAGATGACTGGATTGAGGCCGATGTCACTGTTACCATCCCAACAAAGTCAAGGGAGGAAGGATCTAAAACGTATACTATCCCTGGATTTCACTATCGTCCTCTTGTCGAAGTAATCCATGCTGCTTTTGCAGATATCCAAGCAAGCGCATTCCATCTCATGCCTTTCAAACGGCTATGGAAGGATCCATTGGACGACCGTCAGGAACGAATATACGATGAACTCTATACCTCCAATGCCTGGCTGGAAGCGCAGGACAACCTCCAGAAACTGCCAAAGGAACCCGGTTGTTCTTTAGAACGCGCCATAGCAGGTCTCATGTTCTTTTCGGACTCAACTCACTTAGCAAACTTTGGAACTGCAAAGGCTTGGCCGTTGTACCTATATTTTGGAAATCTAACGAAGTATGTGCGGTCGTCACCGCAATCGGGCGCATGCCACCTAGTGGGATTCTTCCCTTCCGTGAGTCGTCCTAATTGCAGGATTCGTGTCTACAGCTACTGACGTCAGCATATCAGCTTCCGGACAGTATCAAAGATTTGTTGAGCACAATATCTCGTATATCAAAGACTGGTATGGCCTCACTTCAAACACACTGCCGAAGAGAATTGTTTCACGCATGCTGGGAAATCTTGCTTGATGAAGAATTTCTTCAAGCATATCGCCACGGTATCGTTTTGAAATGTCCGGATGGAGTGCTGCGGAGAATATTTCCCAGAATCTTCACGTACTCGGCTGATTACCCAGAGAAGTGCATTCCTTTACCTTGATTAAATTTTTCAGATCACTCATGATTTTACAGGGTTTTAATCGCCACAATCAAAGATATGGGCTTATGTGCATGTCCTCGCTGTCTGACCCCAAAAAGCTTGTTCAGTTCTCTCGGTCTACTACGGGACATGAAAAGCCGTGTCGCGAACATCTGAGTATATGCTACGATGAAAGTTGTCCAGGCCCGCGAGTTTATCTACAAGTGTGGAAACACTGTAGATGGTTCTAAAGTCGAACAAACTCTCGGAGAGGGTTCATGGGTACCCACTATGGTAGGTGGAAATAGTTCCGCATCAATTACAATCAGCTGAGGTCCCTAACTTGCAGAATCAGTTTTTTAACAAGCTCGGACCGTTCGGCTTCGACTCATTCCGAATGCTTGTTGTTGACTTTATGCATGAATGTGAATTAGGTACCTGGAAGGCGTTATTTACGCACCTTATCCGGCTTCTTTATGCGCTCCCTGGAGGTAATCAACTGGTTGCGACCCTCGATAGCAGGTACGTGGAGTACTGATATCTATTAACGAGTCACTGACTCTTAATCTCATCGTAGATTTCGCCAGGTCCCCACATTTGGGAATGGTATAATTCGAAAGTTCTCAAACAATACCTCTGAGATGAAGCGATTAGCAGCGCGCGATTTCGAAGACATTTTACAGGTTTTCCCATTATTAGTTTTGTTATTACGGTCACTGACGCTTTCTTGGTCATTAGTGTTCTATCGCAGTTTTCGAAGGGTTGTTTCCTCCCGAGCACGATGCAATCGTGCAGTCTTTACTATATCAATTTGCACAATGGCATGCGCTTGCCAAGCTCAGGGTCCACTCAGAATCTACTGTGTCTTTTCTCGAAGAGACGTTTAAACGGCTCTCTCGGAAATTGCGGAAGTTTCAACGCGACACCTGTGCCGCCTTCAATACTATAGAGTTGCTGAGAGAAAAAGCAGCTCGCCAACGCAGGTTTGCTCAGCGCTCTGAACCTAATATCACCTCCCCAGAATCAAGCCAACCGAGAGTAAAGAAGTTCAATCTCAGCACCTACAAGTTCCACGCGATGGGAGATTATGCAAGGACCATCAGGCTCTTTGGGACGACCGATTCATTCACGACTCAGATGGTAAGTATCTTGTGCATTCTACTCTCGACGCGAAGTTAAATTTGGCCAGGGGGAACTTGCACACAGAGCTCTAAAGGTGTTTTATCCGCTGACGAGCAAGTTAGATACTCCAGCCCAGTTGGCTAAGCATGAACGCAGGCGTCGCGTGCTTCGACGTGTGGCAGAAGCAGAAGCAGAAGGTATATCTTCCGCTGACAGTCAATCACCTGTCGATGCCCACCCCTCGACATTCTCTGGACAGCATCACCATATCGCAAATAATCAGAGGAACCCAGTCGATATATTCGCATTTGTTCGAGAACATGATGGTGATCCGGCTGTCAAGGTAGAAGTGACATTGAATTGTGTACACACCTTACACGTCTCTCACATTAGTTCTCAGAATTTTATACCAAAGCTTAAGGATCACGTCCTTTTTCAGCTGCGGAAGCTAGATATTAGTTGTTGTGATCACACCTTCACAGCCGAAGAACATAACACTGTTATAATTCCGAACCACAGAATATACTCACTCCAGACGATGCAGGTGCATTACACCACGTATGACCTCAGGCGTGAATATGATAGCGTCAACCCTAGAACGCATCCTGATGTTATGGTGCTTTCAGGGGAAACGAGGCCCAGTCACCCGTATTGGTATGCCCGTGTATTGGGTATATACCAAATAGACACGTGGCTCAACGACGGAGCCCAACCTGTAAAGCAGTACCTTGATGTGCTCTGGGTCAGGTGGCTGGCATCACCGCAGAACTATCGATCAGGCTTCGATCAAGCTCGTCTTCCAAAAGTTGTGTTTGTAGACGAATCGGACCCGGACGCATTTGGGTTTCTCGATCCGTCACAAGTGATTCGAGGAGCCCATTTGATTCCTGCCTTTGCCTCAGGACGTGGAACAAGCTCCCTTCGCTACGGACAATCATTAGCGCATTTTGAGGGGGAGCTAGACGATTGGGAAGAATATTATGTGGGCATGTGAGTATATATATTACTTCCTCTGTCGAATCAACGCTTGACCTTTGTGTCAGATTTGTTGATCGTGATATGTTTATGAGATATACCCCCTTTGGAGTGGGACATCCAGTAACGATTCGGAGTATAACTAGAGAATGTCTTGGCTCGCGGGCACCATTTGACACCATGGATGTAGTAAACGATGATTTGGATCATGAGGAGTTCAGTGACGGCGAGGGTCAAGATTTCGATGACGAAGACGAGGAGGATGACTGTCCATTTAGCGATGAGGAGCCAGAAGATGAAGATGGGGGAGACGACAATGATGAGTTTGACGACCTCCTTTCATTTTAACTAAATATTGGTTTTGCTAAGTCCGTACAAAATCTGTTTACCACTGGAGCCATATATCTAACCTGAGAGAATGTGGTATTTCACGAATGAACTATATGTATGTTGACACCACCGTGACAGCTTGGTTTCTCACACCAGTATGGGGTATGTTATTTGTCTTTGTTTGTTTGTATACCGTTCATTTGACAATGCCACATAGTCCAACGCAGTCATGACTCACGGTGCTAGATCACTTATCATCCTCTCTGGTTGAGGACAGTTTGCGTCGCACTTTGATCGACCTTTGACTTACATTTCCAGTTCTCCGGTCAACAACGCTCACAGCTGTTTGAAAGGTAAGAGATGGAATATGACTACTTCACTGCAACTGAAAGGAAAGACAAGATGTACAGATACTGTGTGGACATGTTTTTTTTTCTAGTTTTCCGATCAACAGGTCTCACAGCTGTTTGAAAGGTAAGAGATGCAATTTGATGACTTCACTGCAACTGAAGGAAAAGACAAGATCTACAGATGCTGCGCGGACAAGTTTTTTTCAAGTCTGGACGATCATGTTATCCGACATCTTAGCGATGACGCTAGGATCACATCGTGGTAGATCATCACATCTACCGCCTCAAGGAGCCACTTTTCCCCCCAAACCTCCCTTGATCCGACCTCTTTTGACCCGAGTACGTGTCAAGCAGCTTCTGCCTATGGCTCTCATAATTCACAGCACGCAGCTGGTAGTAGGCACCAGTATGTAACTGCCTCAAGCTCTGAGTCATGCTAAACCGAGTGCTGTTGTAACGCCTACCCCTTGCCGTTGTTCATTCTCAACGTCTCTCAGATCGAAACTGTATGTCATTTTTACTATAACTTCTACCAAATCTTTTGCTAACTTGAACTTGAATGCAAGCGTGTCAGCATGCACCGTAACCGATGTCTCGGGATCGTTGGGGCAGGTTCCAATGGTCCCTGTCGAGTACAATTCCAGTATCAGAATTAATCTCACAATGTGGATAACATGACGGCAGTTCCCTCTGATACCAGCATATGCATTTGGCCGCTACCAAACATCAAATTTCAAGGCGGAACAATCGATTAGCAGTACGTACTATCACAAACTTTGAGTTCATTTGCCATCAGTCTGTGCTAAGTTTGAATTTTAGTCAATGTCAAGTGACCAGGCGTGTTACCGGCGGTTGCATGGAGTCCCATTTGAAGCTTCGAGTCGATCTGAACCAGGATCTGAACCACTTGTAAGTAACGAGCCTAAGCTTTCAGCTGATTTCAATGAACCCTGACTGTCTTTGCTCATCACAGCGGGAATTCATGCCAGCTTCGTTTCTATCAATCGAATCATTCAGGGGCCAGCCTCGAGGTAAGTACAAGCAGCTTCGGACGACTAAATATCTAGTAAACTAGCTATCCACAGCGGGATCCCATCGCATATCAGCTGCCAGTAAGACCGACGCCTAAGACTTGGCACGTTTATTGGTGCAATCTTACATCCATTTTTTATTCCGTACAAAGGCACTTTGTGACTGACTCCCATCTTTGACTCGGACTTGGAGTTGCAGCCAAGACCCCTCAAAGTAACGACCGAAAGAGGTAAGACTCATGCTCTGACCATCATAATCATCGTTGACTGGCCGCCTTTCTCAACGACTCAGAAATGACCCACTGGCCCGGGAATAACGGCTACTCAGGCCAGCCTGAGGAGCCACATTTGCAAAGTCACGATAACGGTCCAGGTCGCCCTTCTGCGAGTCAGAATTAATCCCACAACGCGGATAACATGACGGCAGTTCCTTCTGATACCAGCATATGCATTTTGCCGCTACCAAACATCAAATTTCAAGGCGGAACAATCGATTACCAGTACGTACTATCACAACATGGGGCTTTCGATATCGGGTCAGTGCCCAATCATGATGCAATTGCATACCCTGACTATCATACTTCGCACAGCCAGGATACCCATGATGGGTTCGTACCCCAGAACATCCCTCAGGGACTAGCTCACTTCCCAACCGACCTTAATCCGACCCGTTTTGAACCAAGCATGAGTCAAGATCAATCAAGCTCATCGGCTTTGGGCGCGTACTGCCCGAACGACCCCGATTCCCTCTATTCTGAAGACTATATCGCAACGTTGGGCCAGAAAAGGCCATCGTACAGGAAGGTCTCTCATCCATACAAAGGAGTGCCTTTCGTCAGATCTGACACACCTCCTCCCTCAGCACTATCGCAGTCCACTCGAAAGACCTCAACGTTGCAGGTCGAATCTGCTGTAATTGATCGTGTGAAGGAGGATGCCTCACGATTCCTGAACTTGTCTCTCTCGCGCACCCTATGGCAATGGAGAGGATGATATCCTTTCAATTGAGAATGGATTCTTTGAGCAGTTCCCGAGAAACCCAGGGAAAACTCAAAAGTGAAGGGGGAAAACCATTCCCGTACTAGTTTGAGAGACGAAACTGTGACTGTCGTGGATTCTGAACCCAGGTGCATCCGTCCGTCGTCCGAGGATCATAGATTCTGGTGAACTGTCTGTGATTAAAGCTAGTAGCAAAACTACCGTGACTTTGCTCGTGAGTAAAGTTTTTTCTATTGATCTAAAGTTTCACATCATGTTTTGTTAGATCGCACTGCTGGGCGAGATGACTACAATCAACGGCAAATCGACCATTTCGAAGACGACGCTGGGGTTGAAGGATGGCTGTATGGCTTAGACCGTCTCCCTAACCTGTCTGACGACTCCGGAAGTGAAGCAGCAACGGTAGGTGCAGTTCGTGTGAAGGCTAAACTATTTAATGAGAAACAGTTGATGATTTGATCCCACAAGATTTAATTTCATCACATCAAGTTACATGCGTTCTCGTTTCCATCCTCCTCCACGCCGTGCAGGCTAACATATTATTAACGCTTTAGCGGCATCATGATGCACTTCTTCATCACACTTTCCTTTGTTTCTTCGTCGTGTTCGACGATTTCTGTCCTTGCTCTCCTAATCCCTTTCGATGTCCACGTTCAAACACCTGCTAACAACCCAGCCACCCATTTCCCTCGCCAATCGTCTTCCAATGGCATATTACCTGTGGGGAACACGCAAAACTCTTTCTACTACACAAATATCATGCTTGATGGTCAAAACATATCCGTGATGCTGGATACGGGAAGGTAATCCAATTTTCACAGCCATTGCGGGTATTTGTTTATTTGCCCATTTACAGCTCTGATCTATGGGTGACCGGCTCCATACCTGGAGCAACAGACACAGGTAGCTCTCTGAAACTTTCATATGCTGTTGGAATGGCTGCTGGTCAGTCACTCAAAGTCATAGCTCTCACGATTCATTACGTCCATAGCCAGGCGACATCTATACTGCACCTTTCGAATTTGCTGGGCAATCTGTCAGCGACCAGGCATTCCGTCCGTGTCCTTTTTTGTATCACCGCTTCGTTTTCTGACATCCAGTACAGTCCTTGTTGCAAATGTATCATCTTTCTCCACAAATATTCATTCGGAAGGGTATGACAGTCTCATCGGCCTTGGCCCAAATTCTGGTTCCTCGATATACAAGAAACTCGACGGAAATTCGGGGAATAACCCAATCAACAGTATTCTCGAACAAACGTCCTCAAATGACTACATAACTATGATGCTCAGTCGCAAAGGAGACCCAGGGAGTAATATCACTGACCAGTTCACCATAGGAGAACTCATTCCAGGATTCGAGAATATTACCAGCATGCCACATTTGTCGATTGAGAAGGTTTACAGAGTGACTGATGCTGACCAGCATTGGCAGATTGTAACAGACAAGAATAATGGCATCATTGGGCCTGACGGACAGCCGATCAAATATTCATCGATTGCCCCCAAGGCTCCTGACGGCACAATAGTGGGAGTCTTAGACTCTGGCTTCACCCTGCCTCAAGTGCCTCGAACGGTGTCGGACGCCATCTATGGGCATGTACAGGGTGCCAAATGGTTGGTTGCAAACGAAGCTTGGCTAGTTGCGGGCAACTTATTAATGCTACCTTCAATTTTGGAGGCGTTTCATATCCTATTCACCCACTCAATGTATCTTTGGGGCGGCCTTCTCAATTGGAAACCCTGCTTGCCTGGGAACGGTATGTGACAGTTCTGCATAACACGAAATTGTTCTAAATCTGGACCTTCCAAATAGTTCCAACCAGTCACTTCTGCATTTAGTCTTCTTGGAGAGTATGATATGATTTTGGGAATGGCTTTCCGTAGGTTGTCGACCTGTTCTAACAATACTTGTTTGACACATTCGCAGTGCGGAACACATACACCCTGATTAATTATGGCAATTTCATCACCGGTGGCTCAAATTCCAATAGTCCCTACGTCCAATTGCTCCCGCTCACGAACGTCGAATCTGCTGTCAACAACTTAATTCAGGTCCGGCTGAATGGACAAAACACAATTAATTGCCAGAAAACTCGGTGAGGCATGGGTTTCAAATGTATGTTCGTCATGATCATGGTCTTCAGTGTTGCGCTTGCTCGTGCCGTGTATGCTCACACAAGGTATGTCCTATTGGGTGGTCCATTTGAGCACTGCAGTGAGTATTGCTATCTTTTTGTTCACCTGCTACCCTCGTGCTTATATTGCAAATAGGACAGTCATGCTACCCGGTTCTTGCACGAGAGACTCATCCACGGACCGTTGATGGCAACCCATACGAGATTCCTGCCGTCCAGATTCTTAATGATCGTGGAGAGTTCTCGGCTTCTATGGGTGTTCTACCTCCCACGTGGCGACCCTGTGTTCGTCTGCTTCCCTGGTACCGCAAAGGTGGAATAGCTGTCAAGAATTTGGCTGGTCTTGCAGTCGCCGCTGTCGCCAAACGTTTTACAACTCCAACTGACCACGTCGACCTCTTGAGTAAGCTGCAAGAGGGGCGTGATGATGAGGGAAATCTCATGGGAAGAAAGGAGCTCACCGCAGAGGCCCTCACTCAGCTCATCGCCGGTTCCGACACTACTTCCAAGTAAGTCTTCTAGCCAATCTTGGTCAGTCATCTTCCCCATTCAGCTCAGCTCGTCATGTGCCATCACATATTACCTTGCCGCCAATCCTCCTGTACAGCTCAAGCTCCAGAAAGAGCTTGACGACGCCCTTGGCAGTGAAGATGAATATGTTTCGACGTACGAATAGGTCAAACGTCTACCTTATCTGGAAGCTGTTATCAATGAAGCCTTGCGTATTCATTCGACATCGTGAGTATTGCTATCTGTCTGTTCACCTGCTACCCTCGTGCTTATATTGTAAATAGGACAGTCATGCTACCCGGTTCTTGCACGAGAGACTCATCCGTGGACCGTTGATGGCAACTTGTACGTGGTATGTTTGTCATCCACGATGATACAGTGTTAAATCTGTTCGCAGATCTTAGTCACTCGCCACGTAGAGCTCATGCTGCCTGGCACTTATTACCTGGATGACCACATCGATACCAAGGGTGCTGTCAACGATCTCCATGCGCAGGACATTCTGGACTTCCCTGAGTTACTTCGTACTATGTTAGGTCCCTTGTTACAGACTCGACTCACTTACTAATTTGGATTACGACGAATCCTTACTGCCAATATGGCTGTCCGCGATGCATACATCGCGAGAGACTTCTCTGCTGCCGAAAAACTATTTACACAGGTGACACTAATGCCCAACAACTCCACTACGTACGCCAACTGTTTCTTATAACACGCAAATATCATTGGGACTGTGCGCTTCGGGATATAATCAAGGATATACTGACCTATCGTGGACTCTTATGACTCTAACTATCGTTGTGACACAGTTCAAAGTGTTTGACCTCGCGTCCATGTTCGCAAATGAAGTTTCAAATAATTTTTGATTAAAGTACGTTCATTTTTTTTACATACTCTATGTTTGCTTATGGGTTGTAGGCCATCGCTATTATGAGGACGCAATGATACCCGTGCAGGATCTAGCTGTAGCTTGTCCGAACAATTCTACCATTGCGTATCACATCATGGAAATGAATATTATGTCCTTTACTATCATCACTTTCGTGTATCGCTACTGATCTTTTTGAACTTGGCATATCAGCGTATCTGTGTGTTCAACTAAGTATATATGCCACGGATGATGCGCATCACAACGAAGCTACTGACCATCACGCTAATCCGAACGCATTCAACAATCTTTGCCAGCATCTAGATGAGATCCCAACGTTTCTCGCCTTCTGCTCCCTCCCTCTCGCCTCCTGCTCCCTCTCTCTCGTCTTCCTCTCCTCCTTCGCCTCCCTCTCCCTCTCCCTTTCCCTCTCCCTCCTCTTCCTCTCCATCTCTCTCGCTTTCTCCTTCATCTCCATCTTTATCGCATTCCTCTCCACCACCATCTTTCTGGCGTGATCGATACCACAGTAGCGCTGATCATTGTTCAGCGGTCAGCGTGCAGCATCAGACGACACGACGGGTCACGTACCTTATCCAGGGGTCCCATCGCAGAAAGGTAATGTAACTCGGTGTATGGATTATGACTTTGTATGATGAGGTACGGAATCCACAGCGGACGTTTCCTTTTTGGGTAAGTACACGTTTTACGCTCAGTTCGAAACTTAAATCCAGCCACCATCGACGTCTTCCTACCAGTCAATATCGTCGCTATCAATTTCCGTGTATATGTGGCAATCACTCTCTTGAGCAAGTGAACGACGCATTTCTAAACTTGTAGGTCGTCCTCTAGCATACAACACTCCCAAGGACACACTCTAACCCTAGCGATCACTGTCTGCAACAGCTTGTCCTCTTCAGCGTGTCACTGTAGTGGAAAGCCTGACCATCAACATCCAATCTGGACGTGCTTCCGGTACCAGTGAGTACACTTAATGATATGATATAAACTCTGCATTGATGAAAATCCTCGATTATTGTCCATTGGGGCGGAGCCCTCTCTGCTCTTAAACTTAGTAAGGTGTCTCGTCTAGGCACTATCGCATACTCAGCTTCCTCCCTACTTCCCACTGGGATGCAAAATTATGTGAGCGGCGTCTGTTCTAAGCTTATATCAAACAAAACTTCATCTCAATATGCCTCGTTCACACAGATACCTTCGAAATAAAATTCTGGACGAGGTCAGGTGAGAGTTTGGGCCAGGATGGATATTCGCAGCCAATGCGATGGCCGAGGACTCTGACGACAACGACTTGGACTCTGGTCACTTCCGCATGAGTTTCAACAACGTTGTGAGGTAAGCATTTCAAATATAATGCGACCGAGCACTTTGATAATGACAATGTTCCCCGAAGTTTGCCGACTTCAAGAAAGCGGTCACTATCTTTGGACGAGTTTTGGACGAGTCTGTAGTCACTGTTTCAGCAGAATAAGGCGGCGAGAAAGTCACTGATCGTTTACCTACTCATTGCTACTTGTTATTTGCACATCTCACAATGACACTTAATTTTATTTGTTTCCTCGCATTTACTATTGATTGACCAGTATTGTGTGTGATGTGTCTTTCGTAAAAGGCCTTTGCTTTGGAATGTCTTGCATGACGTTGCAATCCGGCACGTGATTGATTGCAACCGAGGATGCTCAACAGCATCAACGGGAATACACTTCCATCCCTTGCTGCCTGCGATGGCGATGTCTCATAAGTTTCTCGCGAACTGACGCGCGAATCTATCCTTGCTGCCCCATGCAAGAATGATTGTCCTTGGGAAAGCCTTAAATTATATTATAATTGAAACATAAATGATATCAAGTGAGATTGTCCAACAACATGAACGCAAGGGCACTCTCACCCCTTGCTAGTTGCGATGGCGGTGTGTCAGGACTTTGTCACAAATTCCTCGTCTTGGTCTATAGTGGTAAGAATACATGACTAGCTACGAACAGATCAAATTTCTCGTAGTATAGATGGTCATCTTTGGCCGTAAAATAGTTAGGCTTTCATGTAATTCCCACGGCTACAATATCAAGGACTCACGCATTCACTGATGATAGTGCTCTTGCAGATGATATAGGACCAGAACATGCTACCGATCGTCAACGTACTCGAGCATGTCCTCAAACTAAAACGCTGCTCTCGAATCTGGCTGTGTCCGACTGCAGCTTTTACTCTCCATGCAGCTCACCCGTTTCAAACAAAGCCATGCCTGGAAGATCTCTACATTCGCTCTTGCATGCCGACACTTTTGGCTCTGATCAGATCTAGACAGTCGATGAAGAAGCGCGTGCTTCCGTCCTTTGTGGCGATTGGACAGGGTCGGCCGGGTGCAGGGAAAGGCAAGGCGCTCTTGGCTGTCGACAGCGAGCTCGAGCTTGCTCATAAGCTCGTCCCTGCGACGGCCAACCGCACCACTATTTCTGGCGACAAAGTCACACGAACAGGTGCACTCGAAGCCTAGCAGCAGAATACATGGGTGCACCTTGCGTGTCATGGCAAGCAGGACCCTGCGCAGCCTTATAATTCGCATTTCGTCATGAGAGACGAACATTGACGCTGCTCGATATCATGGAGGAACATCTTCCGTAGGTCGAGTTTGCGTTCTTATCGGCTTGTCATACTGCTGTAGGCGATGAGGAGATATCCGACGAAGTGATCCCTCTAGCAGCTGGTATCCAGTTTTCAGGGTTCAAGAACGTCGTTGGCATGCTGTGGGAGGTCGATGATGCTGTCGCGAAAGACGTCGTCGAAGCTTTTTACGAGTATATGTTTGGAGATTTGAAGAAAGGTTGTGACATGGACTGTACGAGGGCAGCCTGGGCACTCAAGCTACAAGTGTGCTACGCACGCGGTGAAGACGAAAGTGCCGCTCGAACAGAGGATGGTATTTGTTCATATTGGTGTGTAGTTCTACGTCGTGTTGCTGTCGTCTCGCATATAACTCTGACTTGAATTTGGTTGTTGTGTTTCTTTGCATTCGAATCCATGCTGAATTGAAGGTAGCATAATAATGTAGCAGTGATCAAAAACAAGGGTACACCAGATAGAGCTCGTAGTACTCGTGCATCGTCACGCAATGGACCCACGGCTCTGCAAGACGCAAACGGGACCTGGGAGTAAAATCAACTTTGTTTCTCTGGGTGAATCGGACATTGTAGCCTTCAGTGGTTTGCTGATCACGTCAGAATCAAGCGCACCGCCGACATAGCCTATAGTGTAGACATGCTCGTTCGGTGTTCACACGTATCGTTGTGACAGCTTCAAATAAACTGGTCGGCAATAAGACCCCCATAGAGATTTAAAGAGTAAATGGCATCTCCCTTTGTAGGAAGGGCCTTGCGTTATGGTGCTACTGATACTACGCCCCAATTGGAAGCTGTCGGGGGAAGAATGCTGGGCAGACGTCATAGTAGGAAATATAGATACAATGGTTTAGAAGCGCACCAGACCCGCAAGTGAAGCACAGTAATGGAGTGCAAAGGTTAACAGGCGGGGTGATAACAAAGATAGGTCAAACCACGAGTAGTCTTCATGGCATGGACCACAGATCAGAAATAGAAGCGCCGCATGCATATCGATAATTGAGGAACGATCCAACGAGCGCTATAGCCAATCTGCGCGAGAACACTATGAGCAAGCAGTGAGAAATACGGAAGCAGACGACAGAGTGCAAAAGACGTGTAGATGAGACAGTGACGAGTGAAGAAAAGAGCCAGGAAATGCAGGAGAAAGACTAGTATATGAAGACCATCACAGACGGCTTCGTCGGATCCCTTCGTCCAGTCCTGCGCTCTGCAACCGTCCCATGTCGGCCTTGTACTCGTCCTGTTGCGCAGATGTGAGTAAATTGTCGTCGCCGAATTGGCCGATGGTGCAACCTTGCGGTACTTGCGTTTATGGGACATCCCAAGCACCTCCAGTATCTTGAGCTGGAGGATTGAATAGAGCTCTCAAGGGCAAAGTGGGAGCCAGTGCCACGGATCAAGTTGTACGCGGCGTGAGAACCAACAGCGGTTATGTACTACGACTATTTCAGTACTAACTCCAGCTCAATATTTACTACGTTCATCGTGTCAAATTTAAAACAGGCCGTACAAATCGATGGATGAAAACTTACTGACACAGTCTCCTGCTAGCAGATGTGATTCCTCCTTTCAAATTGCTGAAATGTTTGAAGGGAGGACTCGGAATCATTCCATTTCATCTTTTGACGGCCAGAGTACGCGTTCAGTAGACAGCACTTTCCGCAGGTTGCTGACCCGCTGTTCTCGGCTTCCCATGCATAAGAGGCACCATCCAGTTGCGACGAACTGATCTCTTTACTGCCATTTTAGGGACTCAGACTCCTAAATATGGTGAGTCGCATACGCTACATCCTCATTTTTAACTTCTCCCCCTCCTTCAGATACCTTTTCAGTGATACGTCCACCGTTCGGACGTCTGGGCATACTAATTAGGGCATTGAGGTAGAATCTTCCCAGCGGCGCGAGTTCTAGTCGTGCTCACTTGATGTATTCGGATGCTGAAAAGTTAGAGCGAGTCCCGCATGGCAGGATCTCGGTGCCTCGATCGAGGCCAGCCGCCAGTCATGAGCACACTCACCTTTGTCACTTCCAGAAGATGCCCACCTATTCAGTGTCATGTAAGTAATCGTTCATTCTGCATCATCCCCTTGCGGTACCTCATGTCTCTTCAGGGAGCTCTGACCAGCTCTCAGGGTTCTATTCTGACTATTTGGCTCCATGGCCTTACAGGAACCACATATGTTATCCTCATCGTCAGAAGCTGCTAACCCACTATTTCCGTCACACTCATGAGATAGCTCATCACGCGCACTAGGGGTATCTCGAGGTTTTAATTCTGGTTGGGACTTTTACATCTTCATCTGCAGGTATAAATCGCGGCGGATTATGCTGTAGATGCTTCACTGCACAAGTTCAAACCCTCGTTCACCTTTCAGATCTCGGACCTCATCATGCATCTCTCCCTTACCCTGACGACTGCGATAGCAGCATTCGCATGCATCGGACAGGTCTCCTCCGTGCCCCTCGAGGAGACCCTGAGAAGCCTGACTCCGAAAGCAAGGAATGTTTTGAAGCGTGCCACCCCAGTAGCCCCCTATTTCGTTTTATACAGCGATGCGTACGTTTCCACTGAACCAACGGTGTCAGAAATTTCGGTCAGCTTTCCTTTCCTCTACTTGCGATCGATACGCTAATCGTGAACTGGTACACACATCAGGGCTTCAATGTATTTGCATTGTCTTTCCTCGTGGAATATGGTGCAGCAGATCAAGCTCAGGAATGGGAAGAGCTCACAGCAGCTCAACGTTCTTCGATTCTCTCTGAGTACGATGCCGCGGGTATCTCACTCATCGTGTCCCTTTTTGGGTCCACTGAGACCCCCACTTCATCGGGATACGACCCCATCGATACTGCAAATACCATGGCAGCTTGGGTTATCGAATACGGCCTGCAGGGTGTAGACATCGACTATGAAGCATGTTGCATGATGTCTGATAATTTTTGACGAAAACTGATTTTCCTTAGGATTTCGCTGCATTCGACGCTGGCACTGGCGCTGCTGAGCAGTGGCTCGGCAACTTCACCACCCAGCTCCGCACCCAGCTTCCGCAGGGCCAATATATATTGACTCATGCTCGTGAGTGAGATATTCAGAAAATAACATCATCACGCTAAACTTATTGGCACAGCCGTTGCACCTTGGTGAATATATAGTGACCCATTTGATCCCTACTGACTGATATCAAAAGGTTTTCTCCTGATATGTGGGGTGGAGGAGGATACCTCTGGGTAAACTCTGCGGTCGGGGATATGATTGATTGGTACAATGTGCAGGTGCGGCCGACGTCCTATCATTTTAATTTCTTGTTTTGATTTTCTGTCATCTCAGTTTTACAACCGTGAGTCTCTCTTTGAAGCGTTCCCTTTGTCTCTAGTAACAACAAACAGAGGGCACGACGGAGTACACGACTTGCGACGGCCTCCTGTACAACTCCTCGACTACTTGGCCAGAATCTGCACTCTTCCAAATCGCCGATAGCGGTGTTCCTCTGGACAAGCTTGTGATCGGCAAGCCTGCTACTGCAGCGCAAGCCACCAATGGGTACATCGACCCATCTCTCTTAGCATCTTGTGTTTCATCAGCCTATGCTTCTGGATGGAGTAAGTCTGTCACGTTTAGTTAGGTTTCTCTCTCTGATCATCACGGGAAATTCTAGATGGCGGTGTCATGGTTTGGGAGGTACGTGAGAATCCGAGCGATTCGCAAGGTTTCTGAGCATGCCTATATTAGTATCCCTACGCTGAATCTTCATGGATCGCGACTGTGCGCGGGGACACCTGGCCAATGCCATCCACCACTGCGACATCGACAAGTACTGGTACTACACCGACGAGCACCAGTACCACAACGACAAGCGCTAGCACGACGACGACGACATCGACAGGCACCGGTACTTGTGCAGGTGTTGCTGCATGGACCACTGGTGTGGCCGTTAGTAGATTTCTTTTTTTTCTTCCGTTCAACACTGAACCTCTATACAGTATACCGGAGGTTCTGAAGTGACCTACGGGTGCGTATTTTCTGATTTGCTCTTGTCCATCTACTAACGCATAACTTAGTGGGTACCTGTGGACCGCGAGCTACTGGTCGGAGAATGACACCCCTGGAGGTGATTTAAACTCATTTTTTCTAGAATCTTTTTTAACAGTCCCATAACAGGTACCTCGGGTGTCTGGGTTAATGACGGAGCTTGCACATCCGCAGCCACCGCCGCAGCTAAGCGTAGGGCTGTCCCACCCCCCATCGTCACAGCGCCTGCTTTGTAAAGGCATTGATGGGTGCCACCCCACCCTGCTCACCTGATGCAGCGTGGGTCCCGCGATATGTACCTTAATAGATATGAAATGAGATATGACGACAGCGACGTATTATTAATGTTTTCTTGTACTGTTTTTACTTGCAAATTATGACGTAGTTTCTTGGGAAACTCGCTATACTTGTGATGATTATTTGTGTTCATGTTTGTGATTTGATCGGCTTTCAGAAATAGGGCACTCAATGAGGCAACCACACCAAACACAAAGCTTCATGTCTTTGGGGCCCAAGGCCTAGGGATCAAGTGGCGACAGCATATATACGAGTGGCTATTTTTCAGTTCTGATGTAATTCATCGAGCCTACCATTGGAGCGTCCTAAATTGACGTGAGATCGCCGTGCATTGTTCCTTTGCCCCAACGAGGTAACCTCCAGTGGTTTGCTGATCGCAAAAGTTTCACGTCTGAATTAAGCACACCGCCGACATAGCCTATAGTGTGCGCATGCTGGTTCGGTGTTTACATGTATCGTTGTGACAAACTGGTCGGCAATAAGATCCTCGTAGAGATAAACGACATCTCCCTTTGTGGGAGGGTCCTTGCGTGATGGTGCTACTGATATGCCCCAATGAGAAGCTGTCGGGGGCAGAATGCTGGACAGACGTCATAGCAGGAAATAGAACAATGGTTTAGAAGCGCATCATGCCCATGTATGAAACACAGTAATGGAGTGCAAAGGTTAACAGGCGGGGTGATAACAAAGATAGGTCAAACCACAAGTCTCCATGGCATGGACCACAGATCAGAAATAGAAGCGCCGCATGCATGTCGATGATTGGGGAACGATCCAGCGAGCGCTATAGCTAATCTGCGTGAGAACACTATGAGCACATCGTCGACAACCGAGTGGAATCACAGGATAATCAGTAAAGAAGGAACGACAATGTTCAGTCGTCTAAGATTTGCCTATAAAGACTAGTAGGGAAATCGGTCGCATTGGGGTTAGTGCCATCAACAGAACAAAGCATGACATACCTCGATAATTCCGAGTCCTTCGAGCGTTCATGTATGTCTCAATATTGATGGGAATCTGGCAGTCACGGTGAGAAAGGACGTGTGCAGGAACTTTAAATTTCTGCACAGCTTGGCAAAGGACCTTTGGAAGACATTCGAACGGCTGTCACGGTCTTCCTTCCTCTATAAGTCTGGATAAATATCAACATCGAACATTAACCACTAACTTAAGATAAAAATTATGATCTGACCCTGGCTCGAACAGGAGACCTTCTGTGTGTTAGACAGATGCGATAACCAACTACGCCATCAGACCGCGATGACGTTGATTCCCACACCACCATTTTGGTCTCGCGGACGGATTGTGACTCCGACTCAATCGGACAACCATCGAACTATTACTACTACAGCGTGGAGCTGGTATATTAATGGAGCTTTGCCCTTCTCACTGCTTAGAACATGACTGCGTGTCCCTGTGTCACGGTGCACTACAGGACTCTTTCATGCTATTTGATGAGTTTTTCCTTCGACACGATTGATCATGTTGAAATCAAAACTCATCAAAACATCACCGTGACCTTCCACAGGAGTCTAATGAGCGTGGGTTGCAACGCCATCTTTTGACATCTAGTATGCCTTTCGAGATTTACCGCGACCAGGTCAATCTGCGTCGCCGCTGGCATATGCAACAACACCAGCACTAGTACTTCTATTTGACACAAATTATAGGCACGCGCTGATTATCAATGACTCATAGGCTCTGGTATAACTATGCAACCTAATGAATTTAGTTATGCAGCAGATCACAAACCAACAGCATGGCGCGAACCTTATCTTCATCGCGATATTGAAGACATAAATATCAGCGCAAGGCCACCACCTACTTTCATATCGATGAGTCGCACACCAGGTAAATGGACGTAGTTCCCCCAGCTTGCAAACTTGGGCGCTTGAGCCTTGAGCTGATATTGTGCCTCCAGATAACAAGTTTATTTTAGGGTATGGTCGTCCCCCTTACTCCTACGTTACTCCGTTTAGCACACGTCTGGCCTACCACTGGCTCAATGGTGCCTGCTAATGTCTGTTTCGGGTTATTAATTAGTTGATTCTACAGGTAGTTTGAAAGGTGCCAACAACGGCCTTGGGGATTTATGTAGGTCGCAAAATTAAGAACACGCCAGGGGCCGGCGCTGAAATTTTTGTACGGGAGACAAGGTATAATGCGACATCTCAACATATCACAAAAGCGGCAACAATGATCGGGTCAGAAAATACAGTTTCTAAGGAATGGTAATAAAAGTACAAGTGTCCTTGCCTGAAGTACAGTTGCGAATCTAGAGAGGCCAAAGCTGGAGTGCACATGCTGTACCAGCGTTCAATTTTTCGCGTTACCCCTGTCCGGTCCGTATTGCGCAGTCTTCAACACCCCATCTACTGTTTCCTGTTCTTCAGGTTGCAACAACCTCGTTAAGCCCGATTTCACTCGGCCTCTCTGAATATCGCTACCTATGCCGAAGAGCTTCACATAGATGATCAGGCTGAGGACCCACGACCTCGAGAAGACGTCACCGATAAATGTGAAAAAGACAAGTGCAAGCCGGACCAGCGGAGTAAGAGGCGGCAGAACTGAATTCATCAAGTCCTAATATTAACATTCAGAGCGAAATCCAAAAGCATATAATCAACAATGGACGAACCGTGGGGTGCATGAATTCTTCTTGGTCATAGATATAAAATAACTTGTCTCGCTCCTGGAGTTTGATACGCATGATGTAGCTGACGGGTGCGCGATTCGCGTTCATGTCCATTGTTAACATCACGACGGGACACTAATAGCGCGCATACACTCACCGAGACGGGGCTGCCTTGAAAGGGCTTATTCGAACATGAAAGTGCTGAGTTACCTCAGCAACAAGAACTTGACGTTTCTTATCATAACCTAGACGTGCATATAGTCAGCTTTGAACGACAAAAAAGGATTATTAGTCAAACTAACACACTGAGTCCACATTACTAGTAGTGTCGGGGCTAATGATGCGGTACCCCTCGTACATGCCCAAGATTTTCTGGCTTGAGTTTCTTCCGTGCTCTACGACCCTGAAAGGGTGGTGCAAAGAGGCGTTGTGCATGTAGAATTTGTTCACAGCTGCACGCAAATCAGCAGGGCTACGGGAGGTTGTGAGAGCTGTCAGCACGTCTGGAAAATCGCGTTGTGGGTTCTCCATTGTATAGAAGAAGGTTTGTACTATTGAACGTTGACGTTGAAGGTGAGTAGACCCTATTTGGCATCGCCTTGTATGACATCATAAAAATCAACTGTAGTTCAGATCACGCTTTTACGTAAGCTCTCTTCGCCGTCCTTAGCTACTGGGGGAATCATACCAATGGGTCAGCTCTTCGGATCCTTGCAAAAATCGAAGTATACGGTATTGCTTCCTCCCGAACTTTGGTACAATTGCTGGAGTTTTCTGGTAGTCCAAGATCTCCTTGCCGTCTCATCCACTTGTTGGTCATTTCGTTTGATCTGCAAAGACTTAGTGTTCAAACACATCACCACTACTATCCCGTATAAGCGCACCGTCCGGCACATATTCCAGCCTCGATATGAAGATACTGCACGAATCGGACGAGCACGCCGACTTCTTCTTCGTCTTCACGCGTTTCAAAGTGACAGTGATGCTTGGGAGGTACTCCGGTTAGTGGAGACATGGAGCATCAAGGCCTTTGGTTTGCCTGCTCCCTTATACGAATCCGAGATCATGCAATACGGAAAAACCACCTTCCCCTTCGTACAACCATCCATTTCAATTTTCCTCATTTTACCATCGTGCAAAAACCTTCGTGTGCTGAGCATTTCGGATATCCACATGGAGGAAGAGCGCTGGTCTGCGCTCGTGAAAATCCCTCGGTTGGAATGCCTCAACATGGAGCGATGCAATCTATCATCCACTGACAAGTCCATGAAGCTCAAAGTCGTATCAATCACCTATGAAGCACGTCTCGATCCACCACCCGTTCCACCTCCAACTACACAGCTCATTTCCTCGCTCTTCAACATTCAACATCTAGAGAAGCTCACACTACTCGACCTCACCTTCTCGAGTTCATTTCTCCTTGGACTCGTTCAGTTGGGGCAGTTCGAGAACCTGAAACACCTTTCTGTAGTAGTCCCGGAAACCCACATGGACACGCTGTTTGCCTTCTTGAGTATGACACCTTCACTCACATCGCTCACTATTTCGAACTTCTCGACCATGGCCAAACCTAGCAAGCCTGTTTTACCATCTGTTATTCCTAACCTCGTGGCCTACGATGGTTTTCCGACTCTTATCTCAATTTTACTTCCTGGGCGGCCCGTCAATACCCTTTGTTTGAGGATGAATCACAGGACCGATCCTCAAGCCAGTCTTGGCAATCCGTTTGGCGTCTACGATAACAATGTTATCTGCAAAGCATTGGATGACTGTTCTGCGTCCGCTCGCGTGGTACATGATCTTATGCTCTCCCCCTTTCATCCTACCCCCGACAGCATGCAGGATATCGTGCGCATCCACCCTAATCTTCGCCACCTGCGGCTTGATATCCTCCGCACGCCAAATATCAATATGAGCGTCGACGTGGTGAGTTTACGCCCTCTGCCTGAAATTTTTTTCGGCTGCTTATGACGAATAGGATGAACCCATGTCACTTATCATGGACATGCTTGCTGATACCATGGCAGTGCGAGATAGTGATAACTTCTCACGCCATCCTTTGTTCTTGATTTCTGTGAGAGGTGTTGACTATTGACGAACTAAGCACAATTCTGATGAAAAGGTTTCGAATCAGGGTTTCTTAAATTGGATCGCCAACGGTCATCTCCCACTTCCAGCAAAGCTCGAGACACTGCATCTTCATTATTACCAAAGATCAGTGACAGTTTGCGGCGATGTGACAAGGCAACGACTCCTCGTGCCAAAGATCTCCGCCGTTTATCCTGCACTGCGTGAAATTGAGATGGGAACAACACGCTGGTGGAGAGAAGGCGATTATTGGTCCCACGAGGTGCTCAGGTATAGGGTTATAGGCCACATTTAGTTGTAAACTACGAGATAGAAGCACGACCAAGAAGCACGGATAATTATATTTACTCTTCTTCGGGTGAATGAAGTTTAATCAAAAGATGATTCGACTTCCGAGTCATTCGGAAGTGATCATCACGCATCATCGGGCGCAAAAACGTTTGTTTGTCAATAAAATTAGAGTTCGGGGAACAATGCAGAACCCGATAATGATCTCCTTTCACATGCTTCACAGCCTCAGCGGTTCGCGGAGTAGTACAGCCACATATGATGACTTGTACTTGGCTCGCACAGCAACTTCAGAAGCGCTACCCACAAGCCACGACCTTCTGCTTATAAGTATCTGCTTTTTGACGTTTTAGCTCTCTTCCCACACAACCACTAACACATATTTTTGAACCATGAGTAACCCTCCACGAGGCAGAGGCGGTAATCGCGGTGGTCCTCCCGCTGGCTCTCGAGGGGGTGGTGGCGGGTTTGGTGGAGGAAGAGGCTCTGGTACGAGGGGCGGGTATGGCGGTGGTCCCAGAGGAGGAGGCCCAGGAGAATTGATCTTCCGGGGCCCTACGTCTGTAGACCAACGTCTGGCAACCTTGGATCAATTGGTCTCTTCCTTTAAGAAACTTGCCTTCAACCCCAAACGCCCCCACCGGCCTGGCTACGGTACCCTCGGCCGCCAAATCACATTACGAGCCAATTTCTTTCCCATTAAGCTTCCAAAGGACCTATTTACGACTACCACGTCGAGATTACGCCGTCTACAGACATTAAGCGTATTCGTGCGCGCCTTTTCCAGCTCCTAGAACAGAGCAATCAACAAGGCTGGAGAGAGTTTGTGCCGTTCACTGCTCATGACAGCAGCGAGAGACTTGTTTCTTTCAAGAAGCTGCCTCAACCCCTTGACGTGCATGTCCAATATTACGAGGAGGGAGAAGCTGGTCCCAATGCCAAATCAAAGATGTATACTTTCGGAATTACCTACACGGGCAGCATGGATGTTGCACAGCTCACGAAGTAAGTTACATAAAGCTACCTCATTCGTTCTCAGCATTAATTCATTGTGGCCAGGTATCTCAGCGGCGACATTGCGTCGCGGGACTACGACTCCCAACCGTTGATAGCTGCTATAAATCTCGTGCTTCAAACGCATGCATCACGCACCGGCGTTCGTGTAGGCAAGAATCGCTATTTCTTCCCCTCGCAAGAGCGCTTTGAGCTAGCGCTCGGCGTGGAGGCCTGGAAAGGCTTCTTCACGTCCGCCAGACCCGTATATAAGGAACTCATGGTGAACGTCGGTGTCTGTATGACCGCTTTCTACAAGCCAGGCAACCTTGCCGATGCCATCATTGAGTTCAACCGGTCATCCAATGGCGCTATGCTTCAACGATTTACTCAGAAGCTCAAGGTGACCACGAGTCATCTAGGGTACAAACAAAAGAAACCGATTAAGAAGATCATGCCTACGACTGCTAGGCAGACAACTTTTAACTGCGAAGAGTATAATGGCCAGATATCTGTCGAAGAGTATTTCAAGAGAAGTTCGTTTCCTTGATCCTGTGCCTCAATAAATTGCTAATCGTTCAGCAGAATACCCTCGCATCAAGCTGAAGCATGCACACGATGTTCCAGTTGTTGACATCTCAGGCCCAAATTCGAAATTCTCGATATACGTACCAGCCGAACTATGTGAAATAGAGCCTGGGCAACCGTTCAGAGGGCGCCTCAACGAGAAAGAAACCTCGAATATGATTCGATTTGCCTGCAACCCGCCTAAAGTCAACGCAGATGCCATCATTGACCGTGGCCTTCCTACTCTTGGGTTTACGCCTCAGACGCTGGGTAGCCCTATGAGCAACTTCGGCATGGCAGTGGACAACAACATGGCGGTCGTCCCTGCACGTGAACTTCCTCCGCCTCGCCTTAGCTACAAAGCAGGGAAGCCTCCCAACGTCAGCAACGGCAGTTGGAATATTCTTGACGTTAAATTCCACCTTGGTGGAACAATCAAGAGCTGGTGGGTGCTTGTCATCAGAGATGGACAAAGCGTCTTCAATGGGCCCAACGACCCAGCTTTGGAAGGGATCTGGAAGGGCTTTGGTGAGAAATGCCGCAACAGCGGCATATCTTTGGGGTCATCACCCTCTTTGTTGAACCAAGACCTCATCCCTCCCGCCCGTGACCCATCAAGGCAGCAGGCACTGGATTTAATTCGTCAGAACATCAAACGACAAATTTCCCAAAAAGGAAAACCGACCTTCATCCTCGTCATCCTATCTCGCCGGGACAACTACATTTACCCAGGAATCAAGCGGATTTGTGACGTTGAGTTGGGTGTCCACACCCTCCACATGCTTACAGATAAGGTGCTACGGGACCGCAATAAACAAGATCAATACTTCTCGAATGTCGCTCTCAAGTTGAACACAAAACTCGGAGGTATCAACCATATGCTGGATTCGGAGAGCATGAAATGGTGGACAAAGGCCAAGACGATGGTTGTGGGCATGGACGTCACCCATCCTGGCCCTGGTAGTATCGAGGGCACGCCATCAATTGCTGCTGTTGTCGCGAGCGCAGATAATTCTTTCGTCCAATTCCCAGCAAGTCTCAGGTGTCAGGAAACTAAAAAAGAGGTAAGCGACGTCGCAATGTTATCGCACTATCACTCACCTTTTGTTTGTAGATGATTACAGACCTGACTGCGATGATGATAGAGCGCCTTATGTTCTACGAAAAGAAGAATCGAAGCTTGCCGGACCGAGTCTTTGTTTATAGGGATGGTGTGTCTGAAGTGAGATTGGGCTTTTTCTCGATCTTGATGTCGCCTGCTAATTTTGAATGGACAGGGCCAATTAATACTGTGCTGGACGAAGAGCTTCCTAAGATGTTGGAGGCATTTAAGAGAGTCCCCCAAACGAAGGTGTATCGCCCAGCGTTGACGATAATCATTTGTGGAAAACGCCACCATGCCAAGTTCTGGCCGACCGAGTCCCAGTTCGCCGATCGGAACGGTAACACTCGTCCAGGAACTGTCGTCGATCGAGGTGTCACTGCAGTGTACGGTCCTTCTATTTGATCACAAATCGGATTCTCTAACATTTGGATCACTGTAGATTTGACTTTGACTTTTACCTTCAAGCTCATGCTGGCTTGCAAGGCCACGTGAAGGCAACGCACTATACAGTGGTTTATGACGAAAACCACCTTGGCGCAGATGAAGTTCAGCAGGGTACGCACACTGCGAGTTACCTATACGCTCGTGCCACCAAGGCGGTGAGCCTCGTCCCGGCTGCATACTACGCCGACTTGGCTTGTGAAAGAGGGAGATGCTACTTGAACGATTTCTTGAGTGCCGATGACAAGGTATCGAGTTCTGTCGCAACAGGGAAAGGGAAGGGGAAAGGAAAGGTGGACAAGGAGGAAGAGAAGATGCGCGTGTTTATGGCGGCGAAGACAGCATGGGGAGAAGGTGTGCATCCTGACTTGCGCGGGAGCATGTTCTATATCTGATGTAGGCTACTGTGAGTCGTACCAGTACTGTAAGTAATCGTGTAGTGCGGATATGAGGTTGATGTAATCACCGATACATGTTCGGATTCAAAGTGGACATTTCTGCTTCGATCGCTCTAGTGGAGTCTGGACCAAGGTAGATTTGGCCCTTTCTGTTGCCATATGATATATCCGTTCATCCAAAGAGGGTGAACCTTCTTACAAGGCAGTACTAACAAGCTGTAGAAACTACCTCAAAACGGGAGAGTTTGTTATGTGCTTAATTTATGAGATGCGGGGTGGTAGGGGCATCCGGATATTCTTGGTCTATTTAATATTTTCCACTGTAAGCGGCGGCGGAGGGTCCCAGAATTTGAATGTGCTAGAGGCAAAATCAAGAACGATCTAAATTTGGCTCCTGCTATACATGATCATGTACATTGTATACTATTAAAAATTTGACTTGATTGCACACAGCCGTAGATGGTTGCTCATGTAGAGAAGATGGATATACGTAGTGTTGCCATAGCATCACAGCGAGCAGGGAACAAGAGCGCATTCACATCAACGTGGTTGAGCCTTCTCACTTAAGTTAGTACGTTCATTCATGCAAGGTTGTTCAAGGAACAATCGCGTTACCTCATTTACGTAGAAGCTAAGACACGAGAGTCCGTCTCAACGGATGTGAAAAGCAACACTGATGTAGAACTCTGTACGAGGAAAAACATCTGAGTCGGAAAGAAATAACAAATTGAAAAAGGAAAAAGGAAAACGTTGGCGGGCGGCCCCCTTCCCGGAGCTAAATGCTGATCCTCCGAGGTACCAAGCCACCGCGACTTGGCACTAAGACCCCGGAACTCTCCAACACCCAACAGCGGCGACCACACGACCAATATTTTGATACAAGGCCGCTGATTCTGTATGTACAAGTGTACACGGCCTACAAGACAATAACATACCTCAGCGAGAGTAGAAAAAATGCCAAGGAAAAACAGCTACTACACCATACGGGGTTCGAGTTGTCATGGAAGCGAAGGTGAATCATTGTACGAGCGTCGAGGAAGCAAGAAGTCACAAGATAGGTGATCGCCGAATGCAAATACAAAGATTCATAAAAGCCAAGAACTTCGGCGCGTGATGCTATGCGTAAAAAACGTTTTTGACTTCTACTAGTGCATGGAGTATTCCACTGACGATATCGCAGCAGCAAGGAGCTTGCAGTTCACTATGGTGCGTCTCCTTTGTCAATATCGAGGACGAATCATAATTGACAAGTCGTGCGCCATAGTATATATATAGTGCGTGATGTCTGAACCTCGTATTCGGGTCCTATTGTTAATAGAGCTCAGCGTCGTTGGCTGCATTCTGGGTAAGCTTACTAGTCTGATCTATTCACGTTTACTGTCAAACTCAGTTATCTAGACCTATGATTATGTGTGTTCAATTCATGAAGAGGTAGTACCCTCGTTTCATGATACACCTCCATTTTGACATGCTGTACAAAGTGGACATATTTGCTTCAATCGCACTGGGGCAGGATGAAAGGCATGTATATCGTTACACGATACCTCCCCTTTATCCTTCTCGCCACGGATCTGTATCGTGCGTTCCGCTCCAGCACAAATCGCGCTGATTATCTATTAACATCGTTTTTCAGTGAGCTTTACCCCGGATGAAAACCCAGGTGTATGTGATGGGGTAGAGAATTAATAAGAACGAACGACTTACTGCATGACTTCGCCAGAAATGCCGGACGTTGGACAGTATTAGCTCAGGTACGTGCATGGTACATCCATCTATGCAGTCTTGTTGAGGGCAGCCCACTTTATCTTACAGGGTTAGGCATGCTACTAGCCATTTGCTCCGAGTGTATTTTTCCTTCCTCCCTGAGATATGCATATTCCTGATCCAATCCATCCAGGCTTTTTCATCCTTAGAACATATGTGCTCTGGGACAACAATAGATTCTTGCTCGCAGCCATGCTGTCCACCTTTTTTGTGAGCTCCCAACATCATACCCAAGTTATTGGTAGATGAATCAGTCAGTGTTTTATCGTAGCATCCTTCAGCATTGCCTTCGTTACTACCGTCCCTGCAGCACGTACGCGCTCTCGCCTTCCCTCCAACGTTCCACCAGCACTGAAATATTCTGTTCACCTTCACAGATGCGACTAGCACGATCCCAGGAATTACAGGATGCTACCGAAGTTCGACCAGTTACCAGCTCTTCATACCATTTCTTCTCCTTTTTGTATTCGAACTGGGTAGGTCACCGGGAGCAATATATATGTACAGACACGCACTGATGGTGTTCTCCTTAGGACTCATGATCCTCACGTTTATACATGCCATACAGAACTGGCGGACAAACCCAAACCGTCTGTACGCTATCCTGGTGAACCATAATCTATCCTATTATGCATGCGGTCTTCGTGAGTCAACATTTATATACGCCGTTTTCATGTGCTCATCCTCTTTTCTAAAGTGTTCTCGGTAGCGAACATATTCACATCGCTGCTCCTTCATGTGCGTCTATTTCATAAACGCCTTGTTGATTGAGCCGTTGATGTTCCACCCCCAGGACGCCTACCAGACCATTTTGGATTGGTATGTACCTTTACAAACCGCTGTGTATTCCAACTAATGATACCTGAAATGTACACCACATACAGTTTCCAGTTCATGGTCCTTGCAATCCTCGCCACGCGCATGCACCTCTATCTCTGGCAGGTGAACCGACAAACACATGGCTCTGGAGACTTTACGCATATTCCAATGTCCGACCTGTCGTTTGTGACTTGCACGGTGTAATATCTTATCCTATGACTTGTTCGTGGAGCGAGGCTTGATCTAGTTCGTTACGTTCTTACTTTATAGGGTGTCTGTCTCGGGATGGGAAGAGTATTTGGCCTATTTAATACCTGTAGTTTCCACTGTGAGAGGCAGCGGGTTCAGGATCTATGATTGGAGCGTGTTAGAGCCAAACGCACAGCCTGACGGCAACGAACATTATGGTACAGGCTTAAGCAAACACACTCCCAAATCAACAAAATGTCTTTGTTATGATAGGACGACATCTAGAACCACCTACACTACCAACAAATTTATTTCGCTTGACTAGATAAGTTATTCACACCTTGTGGCTTGTCTGGTTGTAGGATAGGGAGTCAGGGAATCCTGCCTTGATGCGATACTTTTTGACCCGCCCTATCGCTCATGACATTCTACAATTGCAAGCACCCCTTTTCACGTGCTTCTAGACATACAACTTGAACCTGATGCACATCAGTGAACCGGTGAACAAATGAGAATGGTGGAAAATGAACGACGGGCTACTGATAAAATAGACGGCGGTGTATGAATTTACAGATTTGAGGTATGCGAGAGTACTGAGTGGACTGGCCTTGCTGGTGACCGCCTGTGTAGCGAAAGTAGCGCCGGCATATGTACCATGTGGTGAGTTGGATGTCAAGCCAATTTTGACTTCTGCGACCGGAGAGGCTATCGTAGCTGGTATGTTGTTGTGGAGGAGAACCAGTACTCGTGCGCAGCGTTCATCAGCGGGTTAGATCGTGCTACAGAGTGCTACGGAGCGCTTCGTAGCACTCTGTAATCATGTGTAATGAGTTACGTTTCCCTGATGTTGGACGGGTATATGATAGTTCTTAGTCTTGTTCACGCCAAACGCCACTCACACTCGGCTTCATACCTAACTCCCAGGACACAGAAGCATGGCGTATGCGCCGACGCTAACGTTCCCACAAAAGTGGCCATCTCCAACTAGTGCTAGTCCAGTATTCCCGTGGGTACCCCATCTGTGAATCCCTCCACCACCATATCTGCTCCATGAACAGCACCGACCAAGCCACAGGATAAGACATCATGCCATGGGATTTGCAAATGAGATTTCGGACATTTGAGTATGCATGAGGCCCGAGGGGTGCTAGTAGAGCCGTGTAGATATCGATTCGCCCGCCAGAGATGTTACTAACGTTGATGATGTGATACCTAATTCAGAGCCAATCAGTACAATTGTTTTTGGAGAGATGCTCATACCGCTGAGCAATGTGGATGTTCGAATTTATCTAACACCGTGTCTAGTCTTGCTCGTAGTCCACTAAGCTTTAATTCGAGGGGCTATCGAAACGAGCGGTCTTTGTTGATGATGATAAATATTGAGAGGTCATAGTACGTGCAGAGTCATACATGACAATCTAGTATTGTTCTACGTGACTTACTAAGTGTGTCCGCTAGCGCGTATGGGACCCGGAAATTCGAATTCCCAGATGCCCTCTCAGTTTCGTGATTCGAAACGTTTCTTCCAGCAGACCTGCCAGCAGTTGCAATGTCATCAGCCTACTAATGGTATAGGCCAATTGCGGGTATTGCATGGCATGACATATCGACCGAGCACAAATCAGAAAAGTGTGGACGAGAATGAGCAGTAACTTTTCAGCTTTGTTGCTGTGCTGGCACTGCGGGCCATTGCGGGTTCAAGTGACGAAACGATGACTAGGGGGTTGTCAATGTTGCCAGCAGGTTACTCCACAATGGTCGTAATCAACTGGATATGCTCCTGCACGTTCATATTCTGCCAAATCGATCAGAACCGTGCCGATAAGGTATAAAAGTTGGTTATCGTCCTACAGTGTGTCCTGATTGTCAGAGATCTCATTCGAGAATCCCCTCAGGAGATCATATATCACCTCGCACAGAAAATGCGTCTATCCTTCCTCGCCATTGTTACTGCTTTAACAGCATCTGTGTCTGTCAGTGCATGCCTCGGCGAGGGTAAAACTTGCAATATATGGGATTGCTGCCCTCCGATGACGTGTGGAAATCCGGGCGTGAGTATGAGCAGGTCGCTATGTAGCCAGGATTCAACCATATGACTCATCTGCGCGCCTTAGGTCGGTCCTCATTGCGCCTACCCGAAAGAAGATTGAGCCGGCAGCCCGAGCGGCACGTCGCGACAGTGAGTCATTTTTCTGCTTTGGCTTTGGCATCATAGTTGACGTTGATGGTGTGATACCTAGTTCAGAGCCAATCAGTACAATTGTTTTTGGAGAGATGCTCATACCGCTGAACAATGTGGATGTTTGAATTTATCTAAAGATCATTGACGGTGTCTAGTCTTGCTCGTAGTCCACTAAGCTTGAATTCGAGAGGCTATCGAAACGAGCGGTCTTTGTTGATGATGATGAATATTGAGGTCATACGAAGATGCAACGCACTGCGCAGGTTGAATCTGTTCGTCTAACGTTGGCCTCGAAGACTAGCTTGTGGAACCCTCTCTTGTGGGAAGGCCAAGAAAGTCGAGAACTCGAAGTAGCAGAAGTCAAACTCGGCTTCATAACTAACTCCCAGGACACAGCAGCATGGTGTATGCGCCGACGCTAACGTTCCCCACAAAAGTGGCTATCTCCAACTAGTGCTAGTCCACTACTCCCGTGGACATCCTACCTGTTGAGTCCCTCCACCACCATACCTGCTCCATGAACGGCACTGAATAAGACACAGGATACGACATCACGCCGTGGGATTTGCAAATGAGATGTCGGACATAGAAACCACGGCGCCAGTGGTGTCGTGTGGATGTTGATTCACCCGCCAGAGATGGTGGTGCATGCGCGTGGCGAGGATTGCAAGAATCAAGACTTGAAAACTATACGTGGGTGTACGTGTCGAGTATTATTAGTAGGAACACGTAGCAGGATGAGGATGCACATACTCATACAATACGTTGTGGTAAGAGTACTGGGGCGCAGAACATCAATGCTCGGTCAAAAAGGGTATTTGATATATTCACGCACCTGGAAGATCGATGTGAAAATATTTACTACTGACAACACTTCACGAAAGACAATGATCATGGGTGAGTACAGAAAAACGGCGTGTACGAGTGTTAACTCACGAAAATCACATGTATAATAGGATATATTGTGGTTCATCAGGACAACGTGCAGACGGCTCGCGTGTGTCCGCCAGTTCTGTATGGCGCGTATGAGCGTAAATATCAAAAGTCCTGGGGAGAACAGTGTCAGCGCGTGTTTGTACATATACATGGTCCTGGTCACCCACCCAATTGGAACACAGCAAGGATGAGAAATAGTATAAAATACAGGAAACTGGTCGAACTCCGGTAGCACCCTGTGATGCCCGGGATCGGGCTGGTCGCATCTGTGAAAGTGAACAAAATGTTTTAGTGGTCATGGAACGCCAGAGGGAAGGTGAAAGCAAGTACATTCTGCAGGGATGCCAATGGCGAAGACAATGATGAAGGATGCTACCAGAAAAGACTGGCCGATGCATCTGTCACCAGCTCGGGTATGGTGAGTAGATCAGGAGCTCACCAATAAGGTCGATAACATGACTGCAAGCAAGATCCTATTCTTGTCCCAGAGCACATATGTTCTGAGGATAAAAAAACCTGGATGAATCACATCAGAGATACCTATCATACGGGTGAACGAGACATACATTCGGAGAACGTTGCTACTACAATGCCAAGACCTGTCAGAGGAAAGCAGTGGCCTTTAGCAAGGATGTCCGTACATGAATGTACCATGCACGGACCTGAATTAACATTTTGCAACATCTGGCATGTCTGGCAAAATCGTGCAGTAAGTCATTTATTCTTATGAACTCTCCACTGCAGTACATACACTTGAATTCTCATTCGGGGTGAGGCTCACTGAAAAACGAGTGTTAATTGATCATGGGGGCGATGTGTGCTGCAGTGGAACGCACTGCGTAGATCCACGGCGAGAATGATAAAGGGCAGGTATCGCGTAAAAACATACAAGCCTTTCATCTTGCTCCAGTGCGATCGAAGCAAAAACGTCCACTTTGCACAGCATATTGTGAGGATGAAAACCGAAGTATATCATGGAACGAGTATATTACCTCCTCATGAAATGAACATGCATAATCATAGGTCTGGATAAGGGAGTCTGACAGCGCACGTGGATAGATCAGAACGATCCTACCCATATTGTAGCTATTGACACTGAACTGTTGTCAGGACAAAGAATATGTGTTTAAGACAGCACGCACTGAACATGTACTGATGGTACATCACTTGTCAGTTATGATTCGCCTTCAATCAACAAGGAGACACACCGTAGCGAACTGCAAGCTTCTCGCTGCCGCGATATCGTCAGTCGAATATTCCATGTACAGGTCAAGAATGTGTTTCACACACACACGATGCGCCTTCTTAGCTCTTATGATGAATGCGCTGTGAACCCATCAAGGTGGCCGTGTAAACACTGGAGACCGATGACCATAGTATGATCTAAGTTTAAACTTGACATGCTGTGATCGTGATGGAGCGTTTCAGTCGTCATGCATCCATGATTCACTAAATGTACCGGCCGGGGAGCGACTTGATAAAAGATGTTCAATTTATATAATACACGCAGGACGAACCTAATGAATTATATAACTTTATCAACTGAAACACAAAGATTGATTTAAAAACTCGCCGGGTGCGCTCATTGTGCTAGCCCCCGATTTATGAAGCTCCTTAAGCTCAAAGTTCCATGCATTATCGCCGCTTGAAACGCGGAGACCTCGGAAGGACTTGAAGCAACTTGCGATTAACTGCCCTCCAGTACCAGTACTGACCTCGGTGGTCGTTTTTTGAGGTCCCGTTTTGAGGTAATCAACCGCTTTTGGATGAACGAATATATAGCATGCGGCTATGAAAACTTTGGGTCCAGATCTCAGCGCGGGGAATGCCCGGCTTTGCCCGGAAACTTTGAGCAACTTACCGTGACTCCCACCGACCAACTTTAATGTACAGATAGTACTTTGAGACCTCGTACCGCTGCTTTATCCACCTTGTAAATGCATTCACTCACGCTATCAATCGCGTTAGCCACCTGACATGGGTTCGGAAAGCCGCTGAAGTTGATCTGAAGTTCTGAACATTACTTCGGCTTTGATGTCGAACGTTCAAAACTCTCTGCTTACTGAGACGAAAAAACTTTGATTTGAACTTTGGACACCATCAACGCCCAGGGGTACTGGTGTTGATTACAACAATATTGCGCAGCCAACATCAAGGGACTTCTATATATATACGTTCCCGCCAGTCATGCAATCACTTGTCACTACTGGTATTGATTTGCTTGGGAGTGCTGCTATGCAGCGTACAGATTTGATGTGTTTGTACTCACTCAAACAAATATCATATCATTCGACTCGCTGACGAGATGTACATAACAGACCAATGTACATCGAATTGCCTCAAAATTTGAACCGGACCAAGGTAAGTACTACTTGATCTGATGGTAACACAGTCATTGACATGCGGTGTCAGCAAAGCGCCTGCAAGCGCAGCATGCAAAGCTGACCCACATAGCAGGTCTCTTCAATACCTTGAACCCGTATCTCTCCCTCCCCTCGATTGCCGACTTCGCGCAGTGTTTCCAGTCTGTCTGTACAACGTGCCAACATCCTTGTCATACCATACGAAGAGGCCGAGTCAAGCATGTCAACGAGACGGGGTGAAGCGCCAGTGCACTCATCGATATGTCGGACGAGCGCGCAAGATCCACCACCATATGGTGCACAGCACCGCCAGGACGCACTTTGGGAAGGTGAGCAGCTACCTTGTGATACCCACCAGCTTATTCAATTAGAATCAGGCGGGAATGAAGCGCTTCCTCCTATGTGGCAACAGTTTATGCCGTCGTCGGATAGTGCAATACAATATCATGATGATACGCTCACGATGGCCTCGCAGAACCGACCTTTACCAGGAGTGCGACTTGGTGAGGGATGAAATTGCAACAAGGAGCGACGAACTCACCATTGAACATAGATAATCCCGGAGATCTTGCTGTTCCTGGATGGGAATGGTACATCTCACCACTCGGTCGGTCTTACTTCGTCGACCACAACGCTCGGACCACATCATGGAAGAAACCAAAGCCAGAACGTCCGGCAGGAAGCTTGATGCCGGAGTGCGTCATCAAGGGCCACTCCGAATGCATATGGAGCCTTGCCTATTTGGGCAGCACAGGCAATATAATGAGTACGTCTGATGATAGTTCGATCCGTCAGTGGAAAGGAGACGGAGAGCCGGTGGGGAAACCTTTGAATAGCGATGGGGGAGGGATAGTGTCGATGGTAGTATCCTCGGACGAAACAATGGTCATTTGTGGAAGTGGAGACGGCAGACTGCGGCTGTGGGATATAAAGGAGGGCAGCATGGTTGGTGACCCTTGGGAGGGGCATGATGCGCCAGTGAGGTGCCTTGATTGGTCTCGCAATTTCCTGGAGATAGCAAGTGGATCTGAAGACGGCACGATACGACGCTGGAACCCGGATACTGGTCGACAAATAGCACCACCCATAGAGACCAGCCACGGATGGGTTATGGCCGTCAAGTACTCTCCACAAGGCGACAAATTCATGAGCGGCGGCGTGGACGGTCCGATCTGCATATGGTCAAAGGATGGCACGCTGCTTGTCCAAATCAAGGGACATGAAAACTGGGTGTCGTCATTGTGTTGGTCCAAGGACGGCGCACATATCTTCTCCGGGTCAGGTGATCATACTATCCGAAAATGGCGGGCGATTGATGGACAGGAACTCGTCACTTTTCGGGGTCATACTCACCCTGTCCAATCCCTTTGTCTTACTCCCAACGAAAGCTATATTGTTAGCGGATCAATTGACTGCTCCATTCGCATCTGGGATCTCAAGACCAATCAGGCAGTCGGAGATCCACTCTTGCAATCGCATGATGACAGAGTTGTCGCTGTTGCCATATCATGCGATGGAAAATACATTGCCAGCGCTGGAGTAGACAAACAAATTTATGTATGGAACTTGGAGACGGCGCTCAAAAACGTTCTGGTACGTATGCGCTTTGTTGTCCAATTCCCCTTCCTAACGGTTTTGGCCATCCAGGGCGCACATGATGGGAATGTAAAGCTCAAGGCAAGTCTTCTCTGCTTCCCTTTTACACTACATCTCACCTGTCACTAGGGACGTCCAGTCCAACTGAGAGGTGTGCGCGCACCAATCGTGAGCAACCCCACCTTTTCTCATGTCCAGACCTTTGACCCCCACCTTGCGTCTAATCAGCAGGCCAAAAAAACAGAACTGGCAAGATATGTCAGTGTACTTTCTTGTTCTTGAAGTTTCTCGCCTGACACCAAGATACAGGCCAATGATCTCTTTGGCAACGAATCAGACCACGCATCTCGTTGTGTGGCTCCTGCCGCAAGCCCATTGTCCCTTGTTCGTTGGCGTCGTTTGCTCACTCCCATACATTTCGGCACACGACCTGCAAATGGATCCAAACCAATTGAACGACAGTCCCGACACCGGAATTTCAACTTCAAGTCGTTTTCTGGAGGACATTCCATGCACGCCGGCGATGTACCTCTTGCTCAAGATGAAAATGTGAGTGACTCGTCGTCCCTCCAATTGCATTCCACTTCGTGTCAAATTGTGTAGAAACTCTGTTACTCGAACGTTTATCTTCCCTTTCATACGCATCAAGCATCTTAGATAATTGTCGGAAGTTTTTATACGGCATTTTAATCCATTAAAATGGCCTAACGACTAGGCCAATTATAACCCATTATTATATAACAGTCAGCATTTTATTACACATTTTGATGAATATTATAATAGATTGTAATGTGCATTTTTATGGTGTTCACCCAGTAATCGCAACGTAATCTAGTCATAATGGTGGTCATAATGATTCGAAGGCACGTTAGAATAGGTTAGAATGTGGGGGATTATAATGCCGGAAAAAAGTCTCCGACATATAATTTGTTCCGTCCCATGTACATGCGCAACAACGTTGATATATTTCTCTGAATAAGGAGCGCGTGATTGAAGCAAGCACGACGTTCTGCCAGTGTCTGTGTAGCCCCCACGTAGAATATTCGAAAGGCAGAGGAGATCGAATACAAACAGGGTCAGAGTGTGCAAAAGGATACTAATACCATAGTTTGCACCGGCACTATTGAGTTTCGCTGGTGTATTGGGATATAATGGCAAAGAGCTGCAATTTTAAGAAAAAAAGGCACAGCAGAGGGGGCCTGTGCACAGGATTGGGGGCTGACTGGTAACTAGTAGCATATGCTAGTGGATGGACATGAACTGACAATGTTTGAGTCCGGCATTCGAAAGGCATATTCGAAAGCGTCAAACCTGCTGCCAGAGAGCGTGCAAAGCTCAGTGCCGAAGTCCATACCTTATGTATATCCCCTTTGTACAAGCAACCCACAACATTAGGCAGTTTTCTGCTGTTGCTAGTTGGTCGCCATTTCGGACTGGCAACCCACCAAAGCGACTCTTGACAGATGATGTGTTTTCGCCTAGCAGTCGAAAAGTCATCACCTATAAGCTCTGTCATCAGTGGAAGCTTATAAAGTACAGCGCTCAGCTGCATGTGGGACAAGTCACATTGAGCACTTCACGATAACTGTTGAATGCACGATGCGGCACGACAAAGGTAAGTGAATGCCAAACGTTCGACCTCCATGTTGTATTCGCGTTGCTTTTCGAACTTTTGAAGATATATCTGCTGCTATCCTGACTTTCTCGATGTTAGAAACTGTTGTGAATCACAGCAAGGAGGTTGGTGGCACATCCCTTGTAAAGCAGTGACAACGGCAAGGACAAAGGTGAAACACATTGATGGCGAGGATGTGATACTAGCATGAGCTCAGATAAATCTGAAGGGGAAGTAGGAAGATGCCTTGCCTTTAGGACGTGCTGTATATCTTGCGATGATGAAGTCCACCTGAAATCCTCTTTCGAACTGATATACCTGGTGAAGCAAGGTTTACTGAAAATTTGGTGCGGAACAAGATATCACCTTCTGAAGCAAGATCAATGCTGGAAAGCATATTGCCACCTAATGATACCTATCTTGTGAATCAATATTTAGAACAAAATATCATACTATCACCTTGTTTTGCGAAGCCAAGGAGACAACCGAAGTTCAGGGATTAGCAGTATAGGCACTAGCTGATGGAAAAGTTCTGTCATCACTCACCACAATTCAAACTTTTGATCAGCTGAATTGGGGGTTCAGATCTATATTCGATGCTTCCAAGACTCCAAGTACTATCTCGAACGTGTTCATATGACTGGTGACTGAGCGCAAAATCTCAATGATTTCCCATTGATCATCAAGATCTGCTGGCTTGTGGAGAGATCTTGACTTGTAGCTTAACTGTCCGATGACCACCATCACACTGGTGTAAGGTAGCAGTCGTGCGGATTCTACCTACCTCACGTGATTGTGACTGACTGTGACGCTGCACAGGATAAGTGTGTAAGCAGGTGCGAGAATTTCTGATATTTCAAATAACAAATGTTCTACTCCATTTCTGTTAATTCTGATTAACAGAAAATGTCCGCAGTATTACTACCAATGTAACCGTGTAGCCGTTTAATGCATAAGGCTTCTGATTAATTGATATTACAATTTTGTCTTCAGTCACTTTTTCATCACACTTGTCACATGAGGTAGGTAGAATCCGCACGACTGCTACCTTAGCTAGTGGCGGCCATCAGAGAACCTGTGAGAAGAAGATATCGTCATATATTGTTATATATTGTAATATATAGGAAAGGTTTTTGTCACATTGGAGTATAAAGTGATATAAAGCAATATATGACTATGTAAAAGCACCATAATCAGCATAATCCCCAGCAAGAACTCACCAGTTTACTGATGCCTACAGCGACTCTTAGAATCAGCATTGAGAGGAGAATGATGATGCACTAAATGCATTCGAAAGACGAACTTACGTCACTGTGTCATTTTAGCAATAATCTCCCACAGTCCAGATCTGCAGGTTGCATACTTGTGGTCTTTGGTCTTATGCTCGTTTGTTGATTAATTGTTCATAGACTCGGCTCATGCTTATATTGGTCTGTGGTGGCTTCGCTCATTAAGCATTGGCATGTGGCACTGTCTTCGGTAGAATTACATTCATGGCTTGAAAGCGAACCTGCTGTTCTCGAAAAATACGGTAAGTCGGCTCATGATGATTGATGCCATGTATTTGAACTATTCATGGGCCTGCAGAACTCGACCAAGCACAGCTTGAGCAGAAGATTCATCTTCTGACATTTGCATCACTGGGTTTTGCACACATCGGGTGTGACCTGGAGGTCACGTCGATCCTGCAGATTGAATCAAGTCAAGTAAAGAAGTGGGTGATCAACGGTATGTCCCGACTCCTCTTGACATCTGTCATTAAAAATCATCTTCCAGATAGTCAGTCTTCTTTCGGGAAATCTCTCGCAGACCACTTGATCTCTACACATTTACTGTTCATTAGCGCGCACGTCTGAGTGAGAGCAATAGGAGGCGTCTTTTTCCGTGGAAGGCAAGCCTAGTGAGTGTGCTAGAGGTTGTTACTAGTGCACAAAACTGCAGTAATGGTTCGTCTGTGGGTGATGTCATGCAGCAGGTCACTCAGACAGATGAGAGCGTTTAGGCTGATGTGGCGTAGCCTACATTAGGGTTCATCCGTTCAAGTCACGGTTCACTACAATTTGTGGGAAAGCTAGGGAAGTTGATTGTCGTTCTTCTGAAGTTCTGAACATGACTTCGGCTTTGATGTCAAATGTTTAAAACTCTCTACTTACTGAGACAAGAAAACTTTGGTTTGGGCACTACTATCAACACCCAGGGGTACCAGTGTTGATTACAACAATATTGCGCAGCCAACGTCAAGGAACTGTTGTATATATATGTTCCTGTCAGTCATGCAATCACTTGTCACTACTGTTAGTGATTGCTTGGGAGTGCTGCTACGTACTAATGATGCAGTGTACAGATTTGATGTGTATATACCCACTCAAACAAACATCGCTCGCTGACGAGACGTGCATAACAGACCAATGTACATCGAACTGCCTCGAAATTCAAACTGGACCAAGGTAAGTACATGATCCAATGGTGACACAGCCATTGACATGCAGTGGCAGCAAACTTAAGTGCCTGTAACCACAGCATGCTGACCAAAATAGCAGGTCTCTTCATCACTTTGAACCCATATCTCTCCCTCTCCTCGATTACTGACTTTGTGCAGTGTTTCTCTCCCTAGTCCATTTGTACAGCCCAGTATCTTATATCGATCAAGGTCATGCCACACGAAGAGGCCGAGTCGAGCATGTCAATGAGACGGGGTGAAGCACCATTGCACTCATCGATATATCGGACGAGCGCGAAATATTTACCACCATATGGTGCACAGCACCGCTGGGACACACTTTGGGAAGGTGAGCAGCTACCTTGTGATACCACCACCTTACTCAATTAGAATCAGGTGGGAATGAAGCACTTCCTCCTGTGTGGCGTCAGTATATGACGGCAGATGGTGAAACAGTATATCAAGATGACACGCTTGTGATCGCCTCGTGGTACCAACCTTTACCAGGAGTGCGACTAGGTGAGGGATGAAATTACGATAATCGGCGATGAACTCACCATGGAACATAGATATCTCGCTGTTCCTGGATGGGAATGGCACATCTCACCGCTAGGCCAGTCCTACTTTATCAACCACAGCACTCGGACCACGTCATGGAAGCAACCAAAGCCAGAACATCCAGCAGGAAGCTTGATGCCCGAGTGTGTCATCCAGGGTCACTCCAAATACATATTGAGCCTTGTGTACTTGGGCAACAGTGGCAATATAATGAGCACGTCTGATGATAGTTCTATTCGTCAGTGGAAAAGAGACGGAGAGCCAGTGGGAAGACCTTTGAATAGTGATGGGGGAGGGATAGGTCCGATGGTAGTATCCTCAGATGAAACCATGGTCATTTGTGGAAGTGCAGACAGCAGACTGCAGTTGTGGAATATAAAGGAGGGCAGCATGGTTGGTGACCCATGGGAGGGGCATGATGCACCAGTGAGGTGCTTTGATTGGTGTTGCAATTCCCTGGAGATAGCAAGTGGATCTGAAGACGGCACAATACGACACTGGAACCCGGATACTGGTCGACAAATAGCACCACCCATACAGACCAGCCACAGTGACATGCACAAAACGTGTTTTGTACATGAAAATGGCAAATATTGAGCTTGTAATACCCTTCATAATGAGCCTATGGTTATGCCTAGAATTTTCTTTGTAGCACTCATAATTTATTTGAGTATTTTTGGGCTCAAAATGAGTGCAACACTACTTAACATTCAAAAATAATACTTATACTTCTGAAAGATGGATTTTGAACTTGCAATTCTTCACTTAGTCAGCAATTTCTTACAAGCCACTAATGATGACTTGAAAGATTCTAGAATATTCCATTAGATACCACTGGAGTTTGGTGGAATAGTCTGGAAAATTCTATGACATTCTTTGAAACTTTAATAGTAGATTAGTAATCAGTAGCATAGCCACTAGTAGAGTAGTATATAAGGGGCTCATTTCCCCTCTAATAGAAGAGCTCCCAAGTTATCAGAGAGCCCATTTTCTTGTATTACCTAAGCTTGAGTGTGAATGAGTGATTGAAAGTAAGAAGAGTGATCATAAGGCTCTCTTTAGATTCTCACTTCTAAGATTACTGAGTGACACTGAGTGAAATATTAACTTATTTCATTCCACTTTTTGACACTGTTTCCCATGACATACAGAAGCATATTTGAGGCCACCATTGAGCCATACTTTTGACACTAGCTGGTACACAGTTATCAGTCATCTAGTGCAATATATTCCAGTTCTCTTTTAGACACAGGAAATTGATTCTGTGGGGAGAATATACATATTTTCATTAGCAAGGGAAGACAAATAAGACTAACAGTCAGTCACTAATATTAAGAACTTGGCCATTTAAGACTACGTCAAGAGGGTGTACTCTGTGGTTTCGAAGTCACGTATTAGTTCGGGCTGATCCGTGTTAGAGGCTTAGTTTGATCTCCAATTGGTTTGTGAAGATAAGGAGTATTGATATAGCTCTGAGAATCATCGCATAGACATATATCTGTATTAATTGAAGTCATAGCACTGCATCGCGCCAGTTATTGACTTTCTTTAGGATCATAGCACTGCATCAAGCCAGTTACTGATTCTGTTCCCCTTTTAGTCACTGAGTACTTCCTTTGAAAACTCAACACACTTTTTCCCATGAACAACCACATTATCGACTGTTGGTATTTGTCTGAACCATTGACTGTGGTAGGATACTGAAAATTGGTGAATTTTACTGTTTTCACATCCTAGTAAGACAACAGATGGGTTTATGCCATCAAATACTCTCCACACAATGACAAATTCATGAGTGGTGGGAATGGTCCAATCTGCATATGGTCAAGGAACGGCAAGCTGCTTATCGAGATCAAAGGACATGAAAACTGGGTGACATCATTGTGTTGGTCCAAGGACGGTGCACTATGGAAAGCCAGAGCACCATGCTCATTTTGCCAGTGACTTTGGTCACACAAGTGCTGACATACATGTAGTCGTACCTTTGTCTAGGTACAAACATTTGTTAATAGAGATTAGAAACGAATACTGAGACTCGTACCTTTGTCTAGCGTGCCCTGAAGCTCCCGCTCATATAATATTTCCACACTCACATCCACAACTTAAATGCTCTAGCCGAGCTTGATGAACCCAATGTTCCATTGGATGGCAGTTCTGCAGGTGTTGGACCCTTAATAGTTTGGCAATTTTTGAGTGATGAGTCAGAGAATGATGGCACAGTGGATGAATGGTGATATTTGAATTGTGTTAGTGTACATGCTTCTTCGTAGTCACTTGTTTTAGAGCTAGTTTGGAAACCCATGTGAAGTCAGGTTGAATCAATTTGCATTCGGCAAGCATGGTTGGCACGGCATACCCCAAACGGCTGACTTTCAACCTTGCTTGCATCCTACTACTACTAGTGTACCACCATGTAATCTTGTTATCGCATCGATAATCTCAAGGGTGTCCATCTCACCCATCATAAACATATCTTGACAAGTGTTGTATCTCTAACAGCTCTTGCTGCACATTACACTACTGTTCTTGTGGCTCAAGAGAAAGAGAAGGCATTTTGGACCGAATCAGAAGTAACTGCGCTGGTCGACTACCTTCATGAACATCGGTCAGAGCGTGCCAAAGGAGGCAACTTCAAGATGGTAACATTCAATGGAGCAGTGAGGGATATCGCACCCAAGAAGACACAGGGCCCACAAAAGACTGGCAAAATGTGCCAGACAAAGTGGACATCAGTGAGTTGCTGATTTCAATCTACATTATCAGTTTATCGATCTCAGCTAACACATGTTTAGTTGAAACAGATCTACAACGCTATTGATAAGTATTGCAAGCAGTCTGGAATCAATCAGTGGTACCCTGAGTACGGTGCAAACATCCAGGGGGAAGCAGCAGTGGCAGTGTTTGATGCATATGTCCAGCAAAAGGTATGTCATTATACTCTCATGTCATGTTGTTTTACTAATACTACATTTCTTTCAGTCCAATTCTGCGATGCGCCCTTTCCGAAACTCCAGATGGGTCTATCTTGAGCGGATGCAGGAGATTTTACCTGTGGGTGGCGCATGAGGGGCAGCGGCTTTCTGAGCCACCGATGTTCCCGCGCCCTCCATTGACGATGAGCCTGGGGTGGATGCCCCAGGCGCTCAGGCTCCTGGATCTGCTAGCTCCATGAGTGCCATCACTGGCATGAGTGGCAGATCTACTAGCTCCACGAGTGCTGCTGCTGGCACAAGTGGTGACGTCATTATGTCTGGGACCAATACCATCGCTTCTCCTCCTCCCCCGTCTAGTGCTGCCACTCGACCAACTATCTCTACAACCTCCAGTACCGGAAAGCGCTCACACGATGCCACATCCATGTTCCATGATGATGCGGCCACATTCGCATCCACAGTACCTTCATCAACATCTGAACTGCCACAACAATCTGAGGCTCGAGCGTCAAAGAAACAGAAGTCGCGTGCAACCCAGTCACATGCTGACAGTGGCCAATCTGCAATGATGACCAGCGCTGCAAGAGCAGCCAAGATCACGCCAGCTGCAGCTGTTGTGGACATGCAAGGGTCCATCAATCGTCTCACCGATGTGATCGAGAAGAGTATGGTTACTGATGCGGAAAGGCTGGAGAAGCAGAGACATGCTGCCTTGCATATCTTGAACGGGGAAGATGCAGACTACTATCCGTTGCAGGAGATGGTCATTGTCATGCACATGTTTGCAGATGACCCAGCTGTCACCGACATATACCTTCAAAATGATGACAAAGACACGTGGTACGCATTCATCCAGCACATGATCCAGTATAGATTTCAGAAGGTCCCACAAGCACCACAAGTGCCATATGTCCGTCCACAGTTGTAACTGTGCCGCCAGCGCCGTGTAGTTTACCTGCCATTTGTTCAATCTCGCATGCACTCATTTGTTTTTTTCATACTCAATCACTAGCTGCACTAGCTGTTTCCATACCAAGTACTTGTTGTTTCCATACCAAATTACATGTGTTTCTATGCTACGCTTTCCAATTTGCTCTCATCCAACATGTCTGATACCTCCGAGTCTGAACCTGAGTCCAACAAAGCCCTCTCATGTATGACATCCTGATACTGATCCTACATTGCTTGCGCAATGCATTCACGCATTGCACAACCACTCACCACATGACCACTATCGTTGTTCATTTCTTCATCATCGTCGTCATCGTCGTCAGCTTGTCCCTGAAAATCAGGGTTCTCAGACGCGTATGATTCGCCGCACGACTCTTCATCCTCACTGGGATCATGTAGGTGTAGGAAGTTGTGGATTGCGTGCAATGCAGCAGGAATTCGTGCTTGAGTGTCGAGGGGGTACTCTGGTGCCAAAAGGAGAATGTGAAAGTGGCATTTTAGGACACCAAAGATGTGCTCTATCACGTTTCGTGCAGACACGTGGCATAGGTTGAAGAGCTCCTCTTTATTGACGGGCCTGCCATCAAAATATAAGTTAGATAAATGAAGAAGTTAGAAAAACATACCTGATATTTGCACGGCCCCACTCCGCGAGGTGGTAATTGTTACGCTCGGCGTTGTTTAGACGTCTTAACGTTTCAAGGATCAAAGTCAAAGTCAATGTTCTGGTGAAGATGAAGCTAGATTGCAGGCCCTGGTCTGCGTAGGTCAAGTTAAAGATACAAAGCGTAGAAAGTAAGGTATATATATGGGTATTGAAGCGGAGCTTTAATATGAGCAACAAATAGGAAAAAGAGAAAGAGAATCGTACGATAGAATGTAATAGAATACTATGGAATGATGAGTAAGCATATGTGACAACGTGAAGAAGTGAAAAGATAGAACTGTAACATTACCCCCGTTTTAAGGGTAGTAAGCCCAGATTACTACAAAAGTTAAAGTCGATGTGATCGTTTATAAAAAGAAAGAATGTCAGAAGCGTTACCCAACTGCCCTTCTGTCATCCACTCGTTCTCGGAACTAGGGAACCCCTTCCATTTAACATGGTAAGACTGTCTGGATGATGAACCGCGATGACCGATGATGGCTTCGATTTTGTATTCTTCCTCTCCGTCAATGATGTCAGGTGGTGCATTAATGAAGTTTGGACCGTGTACATTGTTTTCTTTATAGGGAGATAATAGGGCGGCATGAAATACAGGATGGATGCGCCATTGGGAGGGAAGTTTTAATTTATACGTGATGGGCGAAAGGACTTGGGTGATGATAAATGGTCCTTCGCGTTTCGGAGCGAGCTTCCGATTAGGATATCTGAGATGAAGGTTCTTGGCTTCTAGCCAAACCTTATCGCCTAAAGAGAATGGTACGAATTTAGACATGATTCGTTGACGCATGGTGTTGTGAGCGAATGGTCGATTGCAGATAGCAGCGGGGATGGGAGCGAGAGGTGGGTGAGATGGATGAGTGTTTACTTTGTTCTGCTGGCAGACACTGCATCCTTCTACAAAGTTCTTGACGAAGGTCGCTAGACCTGGCCACCAGTAGTCGCGGGAGAGGAGTTCCTGGGTTTTAAAACGTCCAGGGTGTCCAGCGGTAGGGGAATCGTGATGGAGGGAAGTGAGTTCGTGGCGAATATCGCCAGGGGGTACGTAGGTAAGTCCTTTATATAAGAGAATTCCGTCGCTCAATTTCCAGTCGGAAAGAGCCGAACGGAGTGGAGGCGGTGTTTCTGGGTCTGTAAGCGCCTTTAGCGCTGTCTGTACTACCGGGTCAATGGCGGAAGAAATACGTAATCTGTCCGTAAGGGAAGTGTCAATATTGTTAATAAACAATGAATCGGGTAAAAGTTGAATGGAAATATTGTCCTTTTCGTCGGTATCGACCGGAAGGTGATCCGTTCTACGAGATAATAAATCGGGAATGACCAGGTCTTTGCCTGGTACATGTTGGATACGTAGTTCGAATTGTGAAAGGAATGTTTGCCATCGTGCTTGGTGTCTGTTCAGGTCTTGTACGTCTCTGAAATATTGGAGGTTTTTATGGTCAGTGTGTACGGTCACAGGAAAAGGTGAGCCGAGTAAATAATGTCGCCATGCTTTCAAGGCACGGACGATTGCTAAAAGCTCTCTGTCATAGATTTGATAATTACGTTCAGCTGGGTTAAATGATTGAGAAAGGAAAGAACATGGTAACCAATCTCCGTTATCGTTTTTCTGAAGGAGCACAGCTCCTGTCGCATAAAGGGAAGCGTCGGTTGCGATCGCAAATGGTGCGGCTTTATCTGGGATTTGAAGGATAGGTGCCGTAGTAAAGGTTTGTTTGAGCCTTTCAAAGGCGTCTTCGCGTTCCTTAGTCCATAAAAAGGGTTCGTCTTTTTTCGTAAGATCAATTAAGGGTCGTGCCACTGTGGAATAGTCGGCAATAAATCGTCTGTAGAAATTAGCGAATCCGAGGAATGATCGGACTTCCTTTACTTTCATGGGAGTCTTCCATTCGGATATACCTTTTAATTTAGCGGGGTCCATAGTTACCAAGCCGGGGCGAATAATCATACCGAGATAGTCGATTTCTGTGACGTTGAATGTGCATTTTTCTGGTTTTAGGTAAAGGCGGTGTTCTCGGAGTCGTTCCAGTACTCTGTGTGTTCTTTTCTGGTGAGTTTCATAATCGTCCGAAAATATAAGGATATCGTCCATGTAAATGATTACCCAACTTTCTTGAAGCATATCGCCGAAGATATTGTTCATCATTGATTGAAAGGTTGCCGGAGAGTTGCACATGCCGAAGAACATTACCGTTGGTTCGAATAGTCCGTGTGCGGTGGCGAATGCCGCTTTCCATTGATCTGATTTCTTTAGACATATGTTATTATATCCCCATCTGATGTCGAATTTGGTGAATATTTTAGCGTTCTTGAGTTTGTATATAAGATCAGATATTAGCGGTAATGGGAAGTTATTCTTAACCATGTGATCGTTCAGGTATCTATAGTCTTGGCAGGGTCGGAGGGAACCGTCTTTCTTTCCTACGAAGAAGAAAGGTGATGATTGAGGGGATTTGGAGGGTATAATCGTTCCTTTGGCGAGATGTTCGTCGACGAAATCGTTCATGGCTTTCTCTTCTGCTGGGTTAAGCGGATAAATCTTACACTTGCGTGGTTCGAAAGAGTCCTTGAGTTCGATTTTATGGTCAAATTTTCGTTCTGGAGGTAAAACACTGTTAGCTACTTCTCCGAATACATCTTGATATTTTCGGAATGACTCGGGGACGAGTTCTTCGAAAGTTTTCTTGACGGGTTTAGAAAATTCTTGAGTGAGTAGTTGTGACGTGTTTTGTGCTTTCCGTACTAGGGTGCCGTAAGTCGAGTAATACCGGTGGTCTGAGGGAATATGTTCGTCAGTAAGGGGAGGTTCGGATACTTCCGTAGAGAATGTTCCTATGACGTGTTCGCCTTTAATGTAGGTGATGAGGACATCATCGGGATCTATAACATCTGTTTCGTCAGTGTCGTCTTCGGTGGGGAGTAAGTCAGGGATTTCGTGAGAAAAGGATTCTGGAATGGTTTCGCTAGCGGGATCCCATTCCTCATCTAAACTTTCCTGTGCGTCAAAAAAGACGTCTTCTTCTTCGACTTCTTGTAAAGTCAGTTTGATGCTTCCTTCTCGAAGATGGATTCCTTCTTTCGTCCAATCGATACCTGGGTTTTCTTTCTTTAGCCATCCCATTCCCAGGATTGCATCTTCCCCTCCCAGGGAGGTGATGAGGAAGCACGTTCGCATGGGAATTCCACGGACGAGAAA